TATCTTTGTCTCTCACCCACACAATATAATGACTCTATTTGGCCCTAAACATGTTTTTCTTTGTTTGTATTGTTAGGTTATTATTCCACAGAATACATATTTCCCTTCCTTTTGACAGTTTCTTTTCAACTAGGTGTCTAAGTGTGAATAAATTATTTACGGAAGATCTTCCAGGTCTAAATCTACTTTGTTCCTCTTCCTCCTTAATTTCCTTTTCTCTTCTAGTTTTCAGGACTCTTCTTTATAACCTTCCAAGTAATGACCCTATAAAGATTAAATCTTATTACCTCCTCTCCTTTCATCTTTTCATGATTTTTGAGGTTGCTGCCCGAAATACCTCTATAGAGGAGCTACAAAACGTCGCAGGTCTTTCTGCCATGAGTTTTGGCGTCTTCCCACAAATCTTTTTTCTTCTATTTTGCCTTCAATGATTAAACGGAGAACATGATACCTTTCGCCTCTCATTATATGCCCTATACAGGATGTTTCATAATATATGCGCAGGATTTCACGACGTGATAGCTTGTCCAAAAATTTGAAAGAATGTTTCTATCAACTTCCCCTCTAAAATGCATTTTCTCCCCAACTTCTACGCTACTGGAAAAACTACGGTTTTGATACGCTCATTTTAACCGTCAATGTTTTCTACACAAAAAAGGTACTGTGAGAATCAACTTTTATGTTGAAAAAGATGGTCAATTTTTCATGGTCAATTGAAATATGGACATTGTGGCTCGGTATACAGGATTGGCAAATTCATCACAAAATAATTCTCTCGCAGGAACATCCCAGCTTCTGTCAACTCCCGCATGAATAAGTAAACTACAGAATGCAAGAAATTCATCAACAGTTACATCTTTCCACGGTTTTCCTTTTGTTCCATAAACACGTTTGCCCTCTAAATTAATATAGTTCACAATTTCTTGTACAATAACTGGAGTTACAAATAACTGAAACGCTTCTTTTGGTGTTGCAGCCATATGTTTCCTTGCTAGTCCTGGCGCACGCCGAATAATGTTGTGTGGTTGAATTTTATTTTTTGCTGGAGGTTCCAAACTCCATACCAGACCACTTGGAGCAATGTAACCGCTCGTTGAAGGCATGATGATCAAAACTCAGAACTGATCAGAATCAATTCGAAATTTCTATCTTCTGTGTCATAATTTTCAGCTTCTGACACATCACTTTCTTCAGAAGGCAGATCATCACATTCAGCTGCCCACTGCACCAATATTTCTTCATAACCGGGGTCACCAAATCTCACGCTTTTCACATTCCTTTTTGACGCCATTATCATATGTATCTCATCATAAGAGCCATTATTATAAGTTCACTCAATCCAACTATTTAAACTACTTATTAAACTACTAAACTATTAAACTACTTACAAAAGCTGTTTTCTGTACNCCCATTATTGTTAATGAAAATATTATTATTTTGGCCTCCTGAACGTACATTTACAATTTGGCCCATTACTTATGAATCACCCTGTATATAATCAAAGGTAACATCTCAGTAGATGAATACATAGTTGGAGACTTAAACTTACATAGTTGTTGTAAAGATTTTTTTCATTACGAAAAAACGATCATTTCTCTCGTTGACCAAGGCACCCAGATATTTATATGAGGTTACTTGTTCTACAGAACGATCGTCAACGTGGGGTGTCTCGCGTGTTTCTGTCTTCGAAAATATCATCAGCTTGGTCTTAATATGCGATTTACAAAGCTTTGTAACAGCATCATATTTTTTCTCTTCTACGATATATTAATTATTTCATTACATAACCTAAAATTGAAAATTTAACCTAAAAACTTTCTAAATGACAGTTGTAAGTGTCAAATTATAACCTAGATATTTAAGATGATGAAAATTCTTTTGGCGTATTTNTCACCAAATCTCACGCTTTTCACATTCCTTTTTGACGCCATTATCATATGTATCTCATCATAAGAGCCATTATTATAAGTTCACTCAATCCAACTATTTAAACTACTTATTAAACTACTAAACTATTAAACTACTTACAAAAGCTGTTTTCTGTACAATAAACGGTTCCGGAGATATTCGCAAAAAACGATTAAAATTTTTTGAATTAAATTTTAACACCCTGTATCTCGAAAATGGTGCATTTTAAAAACAGCCTGTATATTGTAATTTACTCTCCTTTGTTATTCTCAGTAATTCTAAATATTGTTTCATTGGATATTTTCTCCATCCATGAGATTTTAAAGATTCTATTTGCCAATGATGGGCTGAAGCATCATATTTTTCCTCTTCTACGATGTCTTAATTATTTCATTACATAACCTAGAATTGAAAATTTAACCTAAAAACTTTCTAAATGACAGTTGTAAGTGTCAAATTATAACCTAGATATTTAAGATGATGAAAATTCTTTTGGCGTATTTTTCTTTAAGAAGAAATATCTGAAGTAAATTCTTTTCAATCAAAATTGTCTCGTAATGGGTTTGAAACGTTTTTTCAAAGAAAGAAAAGCTTTAAAGTCGCGCAATTACGCAATTTGGTAAAGGAGCACATGCGACGTTCCCATTTTTACGGCCGTAATTACGTGTCATTGTGCGTGAAATTGGCCGAGACGGACGGCGTGAGGTCAAACGACGACAATCAGCGCTTCTCGTCGGTCTCTCTTTACTTATATCCTTTTATTTTTTATTTCGCGAGACCACTTAATAATATACTTACACTACTTTATGGGGTGTTTCATCTATCTTTCATCCAACACAAAGACTTTGTTAATTATTCTGAACAAAAATATAATAAAAAGTAGGATAGTAGTAACGAAATGAAATCGCAAATTGTAACCTTGAAACAAAACGCGTCGTACAGATCGGCTATGCATAATTCACCGTTTTTATTTGCATCGCAAATGGCAGCCGTCGACGCAGCAAAGGTCAGCCAATATCTTGTTTATCGATTGGTGCTGTTTAACTTGGACAGACGTCGACGACGGGAGTCGAATTCATTAAGAAAATTGACAAAAATAGATTTTGATTTCAAAAACTGGTTATTTTATATTGACCGTTGTGATTTGTTTTATTAACTCAACTTTCGATGTGACACACATTTAAAGTTAATTTAAATTAAAATTTGACTGAAAAAATCGATTTATTCTTCTTCGGGAAACTATTTAAGAAAAAAAAATCCACTTTAATGTAGCACCATTAAAAAAACGACCAAGAACAAAGCCGTTCTCGTGCATTCCGAATGGCCTCTTTTTTTAATCGTGGGCTTCCCGAAAGAAAGATTAGACGAGATACGTTTTCTAATGACGCCTTTTCTCTTGGTAAAGCACGCAACAACACTCGAAACGGCTTTTTTTTTATTCCTCGTTGTATTTTTTGACAGTCGTTGAGAATAACCCGATTCATACGCGTATCGCGTTTCATTTCCTCTATTATAACCATTAAAGCGCGTTTAATTAGTTTCCTTTACACGTTTTTTTTAAAGTTTATTTTTTTATGTAAGGCGACGTTTAAAGACGGAACTTTTTTTAGTGAATCAACCAGAAATTTACATACAATGACTCAACTAGGTGGTCTAACTATAGTAAAAATTTACATAATGTTAGTTGACCTATTTTTTATAAAATGACCTAATTTTTGTAGATTATATACTTTGTATGTGCAAAAAAATTAAATTAATTAAAAAATTATAGAATTGTCCACTCTGTTTTTGATTTCTTCTGTAAACTTGCCCGTCTGGTGAATTGCCGTGCCCAGATATTGATAGCTTTTAATCTAGGTGAGTCTACGATGAAAACTACATCATCTGCATATATCAGATCTTTACTACTTCATCCATAAAGACTACAAATAGCAATGAGGAATAAACTGTCCTTTTTCTATTACGAGCGTGTTAGAGGTCGCTGGAGCATTCTTTAGTGCTTTCCAGACATCTTTTCTTAGCACCTCATCAAACGCAGAGTATATCTAAGAAAGCCAGGTATGCAAATTTCTCTCTGCTGGTTCACTTATGAGTTATACAGCACAGGGAGAAAATCTGCTCCTCATCCAGTTCTTTTTCAATGCAAGTTCTCCAGAATTCTGGAGTATAGCTTTGCAATGAGGCATACATTAATAATAGCGCCTCGAGTCCCTTTCTTATACTTAGAGATGATTATGTTTCTTTGCCAATTTGCTCCCCAATACCATGCCTTCTGCCTTCACCATTTCTGGTATTATTTTGTCCTCCCCATTCTTCATTTTCTTGGCACCTCCTCGAGAGTTGTTGGCTAATCTTCTTCATTGCTACTATGCCCTGGGTCGATGTTAGGATAAGATGAAGTAAACCGGAAAGACAAGAGTTTATAAAAGCTGGACTGCAAATAGAAGCGAATTAATGCGGTCCAAATGAAGTGATGGTACGATAGAACAGAATACAGGATGATTAAAGATAGACAGCTGTCTTGGTGCAGGATAGGTGACCCATAGGGAGACCAAGAACATCATGAGACGAGACAATGACGCAGATTTCGGCCAGCCGAGGGAAGTCTATGCAAACCTGGGGAATATCAAAGGGTCTTGGCACAATACGAATTTTACTAGTATAGGATGGGTGTTTTTATGATGCTTATTGAAGGAATGCCACGATGAAGTTCATATCATTACATCATATTCCCGTATTGATTTCTTTTTAAAATTTCCGAAACAATAAAACTAAGGAGTACTAGTTTTTAATTGGCAAAACAATTTAATTTTTGATTTTAATATGAATTTGTAATAAATAAATGTATTGTTTATTGCTTGAAAAAGCCTTGAATAAATTTTTTTTAATGGGAATGTTTTAATAATAATTTTTCGTCGTTGACAGTGTTTATTTTAAGTGACCTAATTCGGGCTAGTTTAAAACCGCTCACACGCTTCCGGTACCAGATGGTGTTATTTTTTAATTAAATAGATAACTCTACCAGATGATGATATCATAATTAAGTAGGTCACAGTTTGATGCGTTTTGTACCATAAAATAAAACGAAATAATTAAATTAGCAAACTGAAAATATATTTTTTTAGTATTACAAATGTTGTGAATACGTGATCAACTTACATTTTTAGAACTATATATACTATATATAATGTATTAATATACAAAATTTACAAATCAGCGTGTTTTTCTTTATTTATTTTTTTGAGAAATTATTATTATATTAATAATACAACTAAAACTTTGTAATAATCTGAGATCAGCCATACATCACATTTCCATATTAATAGTTCCTCCTCTTCGTCTTATTCCATAATTCTGTTAATTAAATTATACGAACCGCAATCTCAAAGTTCTTTTTCTCTAATTTTATTAAAGAAAACAAAATGTTGCCATCCACTGAAGCGAAAATTCCTTTCTATTTTTGCCCGTATATTAATTAAAAAAATCAATACTTCTTTGGATACAATGATAACTAAACGACTCTGGACGTTGCACTTCAGTGAATTAATAAAATTAATAATCGTATTTAAATTTGTAACCTACTTCCCACTTATACAAAAACGATTTTACTTTTTAAATAAAATCGTTGTAAAAGCAAAATTAATATTTTTAATGTTTTTTAATTTAATTTTTTTCTTTTGAGACATCACAGATACAACAGCGGAGGGAAAACAGAAAAACCTCCTACAATTTTGCCTCTGGAGAGGTATTATCATTTTATTTATTTTTTTTTCATTTTAGGGAGGGAAGAATTTGGAGATCAAGTGAAAGAGACTAACCATTAAGGGGGGAAAGGGGGAGGGGGGAGAAATAAATACGCTCGACGATAAACTCAAAAAATAAAAATAACTAGAAAATAATTAAATTAGCAATAATAAAATTTTCTTTTTTCTTCAACAAGTTGTACTTTAAATTTTCATCTAGAGATCGTCAAGTGGTGAGGTTCTGCAGTTCTCTTTGAGGCCTTTTAACTTTTTAATTCCAATTTCATCGTCTTTTTTGGCACCAGTGCCACGTCAGATGATTTATCTGCTACCAATCCATTTCTTTTACGTTGTGGCATGAAATCTGTAACAAAATAAATCACTATTATTAATCAAACTCAAATTATATATATTTACAGTATAACCTCGATCGTTAGAACGACTTTCGGAATAACGCATAAAATATCAGAAAAAAAAAATTAGAGTTGCACTGAATCCAACTCGGGTTATTCCTCAAGTTCCTCTATTTCATGCTCATAGATAAACTTGGGGTATTCCCCGAGTTGTCTAAACGATGTAATAAATTAAGGACGGTGGTTATAGTTTTAATTGTTATGCAGCGCTAGATTGTCGTATATTTTTATTGAATTAAGAGTAGAAATAACACTAGAACAAGAATATTTCTAGTTCTAGGTCTAGTGTTAGTTCTAGTAACACTGCAAGTCTAAAACTAGAACTAGCACTATATCTAGAACTAGAATCATTTGGGTTTAGCCGCACGTCTCTAAAGACGGCTAAACCCGAATGATTCTAGGTCTTGGTCTAGCGCTGCATAACAATTAAAACTAGCACTAACACTAGACCTAGAATGATTTGAGTTTAGCCATCCGTCTCTAAAGATGGCTAAACCCAAATGATTCTAGTTCTAGGTCTGGTGTTAGTTCCAGTTTTACACTAGCACTGTAACTATGTAGAACTAACAATCATTTGGGTTTAGCCGCATATATAGTTCTAGTGACAGTGCAAGTGTAAAACTAGAACTAACACTATACCTAGAACTAGAATCATTCGGGTTTAGCCGTCTTTAGAGACGTGCGGCTAAACCCAAATGATTCTAGTTCTAGGTATAGTGTTAGTTCTACATAGTTACAGTGCTAGTGTAAAACTGGAACTAACACTAGACCTAGAACTAGAATCATTTGGGTTTAGCCATCCGTCTCTAAAGATGGCTAACGATTCTAGTTCTAGGTATAGTGTTAGTTCTAGTTTTAGTTCTTAGTTCTTATTATGCAGCGCTAGACCAAGAACTAGAATCATTCGGGTTTAGCCGTCTTAAGTGATGTACGGCTAAACCCAAATGTTTCTAGGTCTAATGTTAGTTCTAGTGACAGTGCGAGTGTAAAACTAGAACTAACACTATATCTAGAACTATTCAGGTTTAGCCGTCTTTAGAGACGTGCGGCTAAACTCAAATGATTATAGTTCTAGGTATAGTGTTAGTTCTATATAGTTACAGTGTTAGTGTAAAACTAGAACTAACACTAGACCTAGAACTAGAAACATTGTCGTTTAGCTGCGTGTTCAGACTTTATAGGGATTAATTTTTGTGCAAATTAGGCATGATTACTCCAAATACACCCAATTATCAAGTTTACCGAGATATTTAATGGACTATATGCTAATTAAGCCGAAATTGCTTGCGACCAACGTATTGCTATGATATGGAGCCTCGGCCGCAAGCGACCTCGACTTGATTAAAGCATATATCTTTATAAATCGTGCAAATTTGTATCGATATGGTATGGATATAGCTCGGCTTAATTATAAAATAATTTCTTTCAAATTGTGTAGTTTTGTATCGATTTGTTATGGATGTAGCGCCTCGGCCGCAAGCGACCTCAACTTAATTAGTGAATAAATCGTTATGGATATACTTTTTGACACTATATGGCAGTTTTTCACATCTTATATATCATTAATGAGAATTGTAGCCGTGTTTTAACAACAAAGATTACAACAACTTGGCTTTCAGCGGTAAAGTCAGCAAAAAGTTGTTCTAGTAACTAGGTTATTTCTAATTGAGGTTGGTTAAGAATTGAATGTTAATTTATGTTAACAACCTTAAATACCACAAATCGCAAATGTGATTTTTAACTCATATATTGCAAAAAAAAATGTAAACTGTTTACAATTTTATGAATATTCAGATAACGATTTATCTAAAATCAATAATCTCGGTGAAATGTGTATCAGGAAATAAAGAAAATGAAAAATAACCAATACATTTTATGTATATAATGGTAGAAAACATCAAAGTCAAAGTTGTACTTAAAAAATTAGTTACACTTATTGATGTAAAATGATTTTAAATGATTTATTTGATTAATGTGTAGGTGTTGGTTCTTCAAATTATTTAAATTTGACCTTATTTGTATGTGAGAAATTTTACCTGCGTTTCGTGTACAGTGTAAATACAGCCGCTAACCGTTCAAAAAGCTTTCTTCTCTCGGTTACGTTGTTTGCATGAAACTAAACTGAAAAGTAAACCAACGAGTGAGTGACGCAACAACAAGAGTTGACGAAGTACACTCATTCTATTCAAATATTTGTACGAACGGCACTGACTACACAAGAAGCCTACCAAACGAGATTTAAAAAAAAAATACGGGGCTTCCGTGGGTGTGCGCTGTTGTAGAAATAATAAAAAAAATCAACCGGGATGCTCGTCCCCTTTTTAATAGTGACCCAGTTAATCCGAAGTAATTGCGAGAGAGAGGGCAACGAACTCGAATGGAAAAAAAATGATTATTTCTCGGCGAAACTATACTACGTTATGTTTGTGCTTTTTGAGATAAGATTAAAAAAAAAGTGACGCCAGTTCTTTGCGTTGGCGGCCTCCTGGATTTATTTTAATGCTATTTTAGGCTAATTTCGGGCAACGCCAACAACAAAACGTAACGTAAACATTACAGCGGGGGACGCTTCAAAAATAGCATTTCATGTTGGAGGTTTTTAAAGCCAGCTGCTTTGGACAGATGCAAAAGCTCCTGTTTTCGATGGGGTGTCTTTCCTAACGGTTTTCCACCCTCCCAAAAATATCGATTCCCTAACACCACTATCAAAAATATACATAGTAACAGTTTCGAAATAACGTTTTACTCATTTTAATTTCGTTTATTTTTCTTTTCTTGACACAGTATTAACAGTAACCGTCAGTAGCCACGCCTTTACTACGACGACGCTCTCGACTCGCGTACTACTACTACTACGATAAGAACGCTTGTGACGTCACCGGAAGAACGGTCTCGTCATCGCTACGTCACAAGTTCTTGGGAAATGTCTGTACGCACTCGAAATGTGTTATTTTTTTTATATCCATCCCAAAAGACTTTGTCATTATCAAGAAGATGTATGGGAAACAAAGCGGTAACTTCGACGATCTCTTTAGTTGGGTGAACCCGGAACTCTCCCGGTCAAAGACCTTTTCGAGCTTCAGAACCTACCACAACAAAATCGTACGAAATTCAACAACGTTGTTTTTAAGATTTTGCTACTTCAGTAGGACTTAAATCCCAAGGTCTTCTATCGGCGGTGCAAGAAAATAAGTACACAATATTTCCAATAACGGCAATTCCAAGAACTAATCCATACATTTGTAACCATTCGATTAAAGTGTTATCGATAACGATCCAAGAAATGAATATTGGTGTTAATCCTGTTATGGCACCCATTGCATTTACGATGGCGTTAACAATTCCAGGAAAATTCCTCGTCATATCTAAATGATTAACTTGAACTCCAACCGAAATCGGACCCTTGAAAAAGCAAAATAAGCACAATAAGATGTTTATGATAGTTGCGTTACATTCCCCTCGAAATGGTACAAAAAACATTATGATCGGTGGGATGAGAATAGCTAAAGTGCTACAAAACTTTCTGCAATTAACAACTTTAACTTTTTTTGCGTTAACCAAGTAATTAACGATTTTTCCTGAAATTATTCCTGTAAGCCATTGAAATATATAAGGTACTGACGTCATAACGGAACACATACCAAGATCGTAGTATGGCACAATCGTTAAATATCTCGGTAAACTTGATAATTGGGTGTACATGGAGTAATCATGCCCAATTTGCGCAAAAATTAATCCCCATAAAGTGCTATCTCGCATCATACTCGACCAAGGAATCTCTAAGCGCGTGTTAGACCTTTTAACTTTCTCATTTAAAAAAGCTTTTTCATTCGGGGTTATAAACGGGTGACTTTCCGGTCCGGAAAAAACGTAGTGTATGAAAAGTACGTACCAAAACATTCCCATCATACCCCAAAAATAAAACGCAAACGGCCAACTTTTTAGATACTCGATTCCTTTCCCGGATACTAAATTTCCGATTGTTAATCCTAAAGCATTCGCGGAATATGAAAATCCAGCTATTAAACTTCTCTCTTCCGGCGGTATCCATCGCGCAATTAAAACACTGATACTCGGAAATAAAGCCGATTGACCAACCCCCATTACAAATCTAGATGCCATAAGACATTGTTCCGGTAAATAATTAATTAAGGTTGGTTGGCTTATAACCATTACCGTTGATACTAAAATTCCGGTACTAAAAAATTGCCTAGATCCATACCAATCCACGTAAAGTCCAAATGGAATATGCCCAACGATGTAACCCACATAAAAAAACCCCAACACCCATGCTATTTGATGTCGACCCCAATTCATCGCTCCTCCTTCAATTAATCCTTCTTCCGTTATATTCCTAACTCCTCTACAATGAATATGATCAGAAACTGATCTAGGCACAATTTCATTTATAGCAAAATTTAAAACAATTCTTTGACCATAAGCCACGATTAAAGCCAAACAAGCCAATGTTGCCATTATGTAACGTTGAGGAATAAAACATTCCTTATTTTTATAAACACATAGACAATTTAATACATTGTACGTCATTTTTAATAAATTAATTTTGACATTATATATTGACAACGCCATCTTTTAATAGTTACGAGCACTAATAAACGATTTGTTTGAAATTAAGAGGTCGCTTGCCGCCGAGGCATTACAATCGGTACCATAATACAAAATTTGTCACAATTAATTTTTGTATATAATTCAGGAAAATTATGTCTCAATGACTCCAGTTCTTGAAGTTGCAGCGCAAATTATGACTTGTTCCGTATAAACAAGTCTATGATCCGTCAGAAACTAAAATTGATTTAATTAACTCTTGAAGTACTTTTCTTCGTAATTAATACTTATCGCTGTCACTTCTCAAGGCAAATCCTCAAAACTTTTTCGCAGCACTATTCTGAATTCATTCATTCAAAAATAAATACATTTTTCATAGTCATGCCATAGCCAGAAAAGTTAATGCAGGAACCTAAATAGCTGTAAAGATGTGCTACATCATTTTATTATCATTATAACTTTGCACAATAGAGTAATGCGTTTAAATGGGATATAGAAACTATATACCATTTATATACAATGTAAGATAAAGCTTGTGGTATATTTATTACTGTAAAAACCTTGCGAAAAGCATATGAAGAAATCAGCTAGCAGTATTTTAGTATTACTTACCTAATAACATGCAAGCCAATATGTAAAAGTGAAGAAGTAGCAACAGAAAAGAAAATATAAGTGTAAGACACGGAACATTTAGATATTGATGGCTGCCAAATAAGCTCATAGAATAAGTATAGGACGTAAAGCAGTATAGAATATACCAATCTATAATAGAAGGTATTACATTATACTGTTCTGAATCTTGAGACAACTAAGAACTAAGTCAATACAAACCAACTTCGAAACCAAACTTAAAATTCGTTGTTTGACAGGTTACAAATATATCTTCCACATGCCAGTGTATAGGCTTAATTAGTATATATCCTGAAAATTGTGTAGCTTCTTATCAATATGGCCTATTCAGTATCGTCATAAAGTGTCAAAAGAATTGCTACAATATTGTAATGTCAAATCATGCATTAAAATTACTCAACCCATGTCAGAAAGTTTTGTCAGTTACTAAAGGCTTGTTACAAGGATACGCCAACTCGTTGTGGCTGCAGATAGAGAAGATGCAGCATCAGTGTTGTTAAATACCCGGGTATTTATTTTCAAGGGAAAATTCCCTGGATATATACCCGCGGGTATTTACCCAAGATGGGTATTTAGAGGTATTTATAAAATTTGATTTAAATTGAGTTGATAGCAGTTTTGCAAGTAGCTGCAAGAACTATGTTTTTATGTCCCTCCTTATCAAACGCGTGGAGGATTATTGTTTAGGATTGGTCGTTCATATTCGAATAATAGTATTCGAGGAGTCGAATACCAACTACCAAGGTATATAGAAGCTACAGTCTTCCCCTTGAGTTCGCTATATTTTATTTTATTTTTAATTTAAATTCTCAATACTAAATTCGGAAAGGCTTCTAAATACGCTGGTGGTTTATGCTGGGAAATTTGCTGATATTGTTATTGATTTAATGGATTGTTGTTAAATGTATAATTTTTGTGGATTGTTATTAGTATTAGTAACGAATTGTAATTTAATAATTATATTTGTTTTTATTGCTAGTGGATGCCGCTATTGGGGGTTTCCCTGTAGGCATCCCAAACAAATAAATAAATAAATGCAGAGTCGATTATCGATACACCAAACTTATTTATAACATTTACAAGAATGCTACAATGACGGTAAAATTGCATGTAAGTACTGCCCGAATACCCATTGGGCGTGGGATAAGATAAAGCGATACAACCCAAATTGTTCATCACAGTCCTGGAGAGTGCATTTAAACAATTAGATTGGACCCAAAAAGGTATAAACATTGATGGCAATACCTAAGTAAACGATATAGTACTTATTTCTGATAGCCTTGGAGAGATGGAACTGATGCTGAACGACTTACAGAAGGTGTGCAAAAGTCGCGCTAAATCAACGTGGAGAAATCAAAATTTATGACAAATCTTGTTCCCAGCTCTATCATCAACAATGGGGATAATGAGATTGAGAGGACTGACAGTTATGTATATCTTAGCTATGAGGTTCGTGAATGGAGAGATAATCAAACAAGCGAACTAAACAGAAGGAGGATACTCGCATGGGCAGCCTACGAGAAACTTAGAGACATCTTCATGACCAATATTCTTGTATATTTGAAAAGAAAGGCTTTCAATCAATGCGTGCTTCCTACTTTGGTTATGACATACGGTTCCGAAACTTTAATATTAACGGTGGCCATTACCAGGAGGCTCAAAGTAACGCAAAGAAAGCTGGAGAGGTCGATACTGGGTGTAATCCTGAGGGACCACATACGAAATGAAGACCTACGAAGAAGAACTGGTGTAAATGATGTGGTCAACATTGTGGTAAAGCTCAAGTGGAACTGGGCGGATCATCGTCGTAAGAATGAAGAATTATGTGATTATAATACGTCTTCAACGCCCATTTCATCATCTTCTACATTTTTTTCCGAATCTGGGAAAAAGAATTCTTAGATATGGGAGCAGACACGGAACATTTAGATAGTGATGGCTACCAAATAAGCTTATAGAATTCCAGGACAACTAAGAACTAAGTCAATACAAACCAACTTCGAAACCAGACTTAAAATTCGTTGTGAGACAGGATACATATGCAAATATATCTTCCGCATGCCAAAGAAAGCTGTATAGGCGATGTATTCTCTACATCACTTATATAGTGGAATGCGGAAGATACAAGACTAATGATGTTTAGCCAACGATGCCTAATATCTTTATGGCCCAATCATTACCTGTACGTAAAAATAACTTTCTAAGTGTAAATTTAATTAATAGATAGTACACTCCCGGTGTTTCACACTTCCTTATCAATCGAATCCCAGGAACAAACTTGGTGTGACTTTCTTCTTCTTTCATAGATTTTTTTTATATTTTTGTCATACCGGAAAACTAGTAGATAAAATGTGGTTTTAATTAAAAAAGTTTACTACGTTCATTCTTAAATTTATCAACATTAAAAATTTTATCAATTTGTAACAAATACACTAAACATAATATAATAGCTCATTCTTTGTGCTACATAAAAAAAACGGTTATATTTTTTGCATATTATTCATGATTCATGAATGACTCCCTTATTAAAAAGTGTGTTAAGGTTTATTTGTCAAAATTTAAATATTTACAACATATTTATCAGATATGATAATTATTAAAATATGTTTCGTACCTGTGATACACATCTGCTTCTTTTCCTTCGTAGCTTCGTTTTCTTTACTATTTTCCTTTTCGGAATTGCAATCTTCCCTTAGGCAATTTGAGATGAGCTCTTCAGGTTTAAAGTAGGCCATATCAGCTTCGGCGATTTCTTCTTCGCTAACATCAACGGGCCTCTTTTTAACGGGAGCGTGTACAAGTTCGCAACTCACGTATTCGTAATTGGTGTTTGGTCCGGAAAGTGGTATCCCCTTATCGAAGTCGAAATTGTATTTTTTGCTTTGCGCTTTTTGTAGTTCTTTTAGTTCCCTTGCGACGAATCTTAGGGCTTCGTCCTTGGCGGGTTTTCCGAAAAGCATTCTGCGTGCTTTTCGGACGTTCATCGGTTGGAAGGGCATCGGGCGCGTCCTTAACGTTTCGTTCGGAGGAACAGGCATTATCAATCTGGTACTCATTATGCAACCCGCACGACACGGCGTGTGTACGATGGAGAACTGCTATAGTAAACTGACGCCACCGAATAAAATCGAACTCACCGAATCAATAAACCGGATCGAATCGGTTCAAAAACCACTCTAGTTTTTATAATCACTTAGTTTTTTAATTAAAAACGTTTAGAATTTAGATTATTTTCGTGAAAATTTGGGGAAAACGACGAGACGCCGACGCGACCCCTACAGGACACGCGCGTACCTTTGCAACTGCCTACACATCGCGTACTCCGCGGAACCCAAGCTTGGCGTGGATAAGCGTAGTGGGGGAAAACGCGGACCGGTCCATTTTGTAAGCGAGAAAGGGGCGTCCGCTTTTCTCTACGCTCTCCGTCTCGCCCCGAACGTTGCCTATCTCTTTGTTTTTTTTTTGTTTTGTTGATTACTTTTTTGTCGTTTTGTCTTTTTTTGGTTTACGCGTAATCGTTGCGAATGAAACGAGACGGAGAGAGCGGAATGGGATGAAACGGGACGGAGACGCTGTTATTTCGCAATCACATCTAGAACGAAACCTAAGTACGAATAATGATAATATAAAATGGACAGTTTTTAATGGCAACGGTAAAACACCGTTTGTTGATGTCATTGTACACTTGATGCAAAATGTAAATGTACGTAATATACAGTGTGTCCGTAAAGTTGCGAATATATACAGGGTGTTTCAGGTTTTTCTAGCAGGACTTTAACAGTCGATAGATCTTTTAAAATTAACACAAAAACTTCATATAAAGATAGGTCGACAAACGTTTTGTTTTGGAGATACAGAGTGTTCAAATTAAAGTTTTAAATTGATTTTTATTTAATATTACACGTGTATTTCAACCGATTCTTTTCAAATTTGATATACGGAGGTTTTTTTGGAAAGACGATTATGGAGTCCGTTTTACTATATCCGGTAGAGGGCGTTCTGTAACGTATTCTTTACGGATTAAAATAACAATAACTTTTCTGACAGTATACTTTTTGGCTTTTTAAATAAGAATTCTTATTCTCGGTACTTTTTTAAGCAAAAACGGTACTCTTATCAAAATGCTCTAAAGTTGATCGTTTTCAAGATAATCCGCTTTTTATTAGTCACATGAATATGGAATCGTTTTTCACAAGATGTGGGATTGTAAACTTTCACAATTTACATGTTTTGGTACCCCTACGTATTTAGTGTCAACGTCTGGATAGGTGTTTATAATAATCATCTTTTCGGGCCATACTTTTTGCCACTACAACTAACCGCTGGCGCTGCTCTTGTAATTTTTGGTAGCTGAACATAGTGGTTTCAACTTGATAATTGTGCAGCTTATCATGGTAGGGTGCTAAGAAATTAGCTAGACAACTATTCCTGCAAGATGAATTGGTCGAGGTGGACCAGTCGCATGGCCCCACGATCTACAGACCTTAATGCTTTAGAATTTTTTGTGTGGAGATATTTGAAAGGAAAATTGTATGAGACACCTGTTCCCACAAGGGATGAACTTTTATTAGGATTAGGAATTGAACTAAAATTGGAACTAAAAAAGTCACTTCGAATCAGTTTCTGAAGAAGCTGCAGCAGCCAGACTTTGAGAAATCTCGTAGGTGCCCATGCTTTTTAAATTTAGTCACAGCTAGGCTTACCATACTTTGACTAATGAGTTGGCGATCAGGATATGAGAGAAGAAAGATTCACCGAACTTGCGATGTTTCAACTGTTGGAAAATATTATCTTGGGATTAAATGGAAAACAGGCCACAACAGCATTGTTCATGGATCTTAGTGATAATGTACATCACTCAATCCTTTTGACCAAGTTGGAGAGACTTGGCTTTAGAAGTGTTAGCTTGTCATGGATGACATCCTATCTATCAGGGAGGTTACAATGTGTAGTTGCCCACAGTGAACAGCGAACAGAAATAAGATCAGCTTGGAGGGAAGTCAAGTTGGGAGTACCTCAGGGTTCCATATTGGGTCCTTTATTGTTCCTGCTGTTTGTGAATGACTTACCACGTGTAACGAACAACATTACGATAATATTTGCGGATGACATAACGACCGTGGCGAGGTGTAGCACTGATTATGAAATCGAGAAATCATTTCCTGTGGATTTGAATAAACTTGCGGATTGGTTTGAAGCGCATAACATAAAATTAAATACAAAAAAAAACGAAAATTGTTAACTATCACTTATGCTCTGACCAGATCAAGGCGAGGTATCGGGATACTAAGATTGCCAGTGTTGAAGAGATTTCGTTTTTGGGTTGGAAAATGGATTCTGGACTGTCTTGGACCAATCATATTGATTTCTTTGCTGGTAAGATCAGTCATTTTTCATATGCCATTCGGATTATTTCCAGATCAGCTGGCATTGAAGCAGCATTAAATGCCTATTATGCATATGTTCATTCCTTGCTAAGATATGGAGTTGTCTTTTGGGGTCGTGGTGTTGGTATAGATAGAATCTTCATACTACAGAAGAGGTGTGTAAGAGCAATCTTTGGTCTAAAAAATGCTGTAGAAGTTACTTTAAAGACTATAAAATACCTACCTTGTATGGAATTTATATTCTGGAATGTGCCGTATTGTGCCGCTACTTTATGGACACACTGTATAAAACTTAATTTAGAATTCATTCTCATGAAGATGATTGCAGCCTTACGGGTTAAGGTATTCACAAAATGTTAGAGAGGTATTTTTCACGGGCGATAAACTAAAATATGCACAGAATATGAATGTTTGTTATTCCAGTTATTTAAAATATAAGATGAGATGTGAAAACGCATTATTTGTCTACTGATTAAAATTAACATAAAAACATGTAAGAAAATGTTAATGTTCATTACGTTGATGTGGTTTTCGTCATTAAAACTAATAAGAGACATAAAATATTTATAAAATGTCACAAAAATGTTATCAGTTTCCCTCTGTAAACATAGTAACCTTGATTTTTTATCAGTCTTGTTTTTTATTTTGCTATTTTTTAACAATTATTAACAGCAAAACCCGTTGTACTTTACACGAACTATTTATAATTAAATTAAAATTAAATTCATTTTCATTGGAGCACATCCAAAGCAAAGGAGAAAGTACTTTTTACGTAAACAGAAAAATTTTTCTGTTTTACTTATCGAATTTAAAAAAAAATTAATACCTAAGTAAATATTTATTAAGATCATTAGTTCGGTGTCGATACGATAGATGGTGTTCTTTTTCTATAATACCTGTTAAATTGTTATCAAGTTTTTGAATTTATATTTATACACAAATAGCTGAAAAGTTATAGAAAATGTCATAAAGAAAATGTTTAAAGAAAATGTGGAAATTAGAAAAACAACATAAATTTTATAAAATTAATAATATACCTAAAAATTTGACCTTGACAGGTAGGAATTTTGACAATATTAAATGACAATGGCAGTTGTGTTTCTTCCTTATTGGTGTTGGTTGTGGTTTGAAGTTGTGTTTAGATAGTGCAATATAAGTAATTTGTTGTGACTTATTTAATAAATAAATCGAATAGAATAAAGATCGTAAAATCAACTCCATTATAAGGTAAGTTATATCGCATGTCAAAGTCTATTTAGATGCAAAATATGCGAAATGATCAAATGTTTACTTTACTCTACTTGATATTATATGGTATAATATTGATGTAATGTTATGTCAACAAGTTGTGTCAACAACCCCGATAAATAAGAAAGTTAAAAAGTTTAATTTCGCTTTCGTAACCTTTCAAAGATCAAATTTTAAACGAAGATTACAATTTTGCCCAAGTTAGTTAACACTTAGGATTACTGCTGGTTCCAAAGATGGTTTCTGGCGAGTTTCTGTACAAAAATAAGAAAAAATGCAATAAAATGGGATGTGTAAAATGACTTACTAAACAGAATAAGTTCAAAATCCAAATTTGGCTATGGAACAAAGAAGATAGGCGTTTTTGAAACGTGTGTCAAGTCGCTTATTACAAAGATTACCAGTCTAGATAAGAAGTTGTAATCGTAAATGGGTATGAAATGTTCCCTTTGGCAGAGGTGATTGTCAAAATGACTGAGTGTAGGAGTGAATTTTCTGAAATGTTAAAACTCAGAGCTGTGCCTCTTCAAAGATGAAATTTTAATCTCCCCTTCTAACAAATTATCTGACTGTCGATATCGGTTGCAAATCATCCAACACGCAAACCCACCAACCCCATTCTAATTAGCCCTATAAATATTGAAGATTAATCGATCCTCTTTGTCTCTAAATAGTTTCGTTACGTTTCTCATCTAAAAATATAAGGTTATCTGGTGCTAAGTAGTATCATCCAATAACCATCATTAGCTCAAATTCTCCGTTAGTTACTGAATTCGAATAATGTCAGAGTTTCTATAACATACAGAGTAATTCAAATTCGACCCCCATCATTGGGGTCTCAAAAATCATAAGAGATACAGAAATGGTTAAATGGGGGCAAAGTTGCGTATCTTAGAGCTCATCATTTTTCAACTAAGTTTTTGGATCTAGCCGTTTTAGTTTTTAAAATTGTCAAGTGAGTGTCAAGAAGGGTCAAAAAATGATTAAAAGTATCATGTTTCATAAGTATAAAAATGGCAAAGAAGTCTCTGCATGTCTGAAAGTGTCTAAATATATCAAAAAGTGCTAAAGAGTGTCAAGAAGTGTCAAAAAGTGATTAAGTGCATCAAGTTTCATAAGTAATGAAACGCCAAAGATGTCTCTTATTGTCTAAAAGCATTTGAATATGTCAAGTAGTGCTCAAGATTGTCAAGAAGTGTCAAAAAATGATTAAAAGTATTATGTTTCATATGTAATGAAATGGCAAAGAAGTTTCTGATTATCTAAATGTGTCGTAAAGTGTTAAGAAGTGTCAAAAAGTGATTAAAAGTATCAACTTTCATAAGTTTAGAAATGGCAAAGAAGTCTCTGCATGTCTGAAAGTGTCTAAATATATCAAAAAGTGCTAAAGAGTGTCAAGAAGTGTCAAAAACTGATTAAGTGCATCAAGTTTCATAAGGAATGAAATGCCAAAGATGTCTCTTATTATCTAAAAGTATTTGAATATGTCAAGTAGTGCTTAAGAGTGTCAAAAGGGGTCAAAAAATGAGTAAAAGTATCATATTTCATAAGTAATGAAATGGTAAAGAAGTCTCTGATTGTCTAATTGTGTCATAAAGTGTTAAGAAGTATCAAAAAGTGATTAAAAGTATCAACTTTCATAAGTATAGAAATGGAAAAGAAGTCTCTGCATGTCTGAAAGTGTGTAAATGTGTCAAAAAGTGATAAAAGTATCAAAAACTGTTTTAGAAATGGAATTTCACATAGCAAGGATGTTCTATGAATATAAAATATTTTGTAATAAAATGGAAAACATTGTTTAACAACAAAGATGTTAACTACACATAATGTAACGTTATTAATGAAATAAAATCTAAATCATCTTTGAAATATTAAGTTATTTTGTTTACTAATTTCTTTTTTTAACTTGCTACCGAAGATTTTTTTTCCTTCCTTTTTCTGACATCCTCTTCTTTATAGAGGCTATCTTTTTCTACATTTTCACCTCTTCTTAACTACTTTGACTTATTACTAATTTAGTCGGCAAGAAGCTCTGATTCGTTTACTTTTTTTCTAATTTTTTTGGACTAATTCAAGTTTATTAAGTTTACTTTTCACTTTATTAATACTTTTGATTACCTACAATCGTTTACGTTTATATTTACATTGACCTTAAACGTAATGTTTACGTCTATTCAAAAATTGTTATTTTTTTTGTTATAAACATTTCAATGTTAGAGTTCAAGGAAGATTAGATTGCAAGTTAATGATTTAATTGGTTGAAAATGATTACAAATTTATGGATATAAATTGTTGAAATTTTAAATTACATCAATTGTACCCTCATTTTACACGCAACACGTTTATCTTTTTTTTAAATCTTTTCAACAACACAAAAAAACAACTCGTTATGGAACAGTAAAAATATTTTAATTAACATGCAAGTTTTTTTTAAAAATATTTACTATATAATATAAAATGTTTAATATTTTAGTAAAACTCAGCAAAATCATTTTTCATTGAGTATTTAATTTTTGTTTAAATTTGCTGACACAGCTCATTTCATTCATTATGACAAATTTAGAACTGTTTATAGGTAAGCTCTCCGCCTCGTTTCATTGTGAAAAATAAAACCCAGATTCCTTTTAGAAAAAAAAGGCGGGAACTTTTTCTAACGTAAGTAGAGTAAAAGATTTATGTGCCCGACGACGAAAGATAAACAATTTCGTAGACGTGCAGTCTACCAGCGATTTTTCTAAAAACCTTCTTCTTAGTCAAGATCTGTCTATATCCACTCAGGTAGAAGGACGCCCCCAATACGCGCAGGTGTTCGCGTTCCTTTTCTTTAACAATTATAATGAGTCGAGGATGTCGTGTAGCATTTTTCCTAGTATCTGCTACAATGGACCACGAAAAACAATGGCGCGACGCCCCACGACGACAACATCTATTTTTAATCGAACAATTTTGCGTCGTTACCCCAGCTGAGAAACACCTTCTTAAAAAGACTGCAGACGTCCGGTCCGGGGGACGTTCTCACCCTCCCTTGACTGCACCCTGTTTCCTTTCTTGTCAAGGAAACACTTGTCAAGGTATATTCTTGTATAGACCCTTTAAAATAATCCCACGATTTTTTTTTGCTTAAACGTTTTGACTTTTTTATGCATCAACTTCCGTTCCTTAAAAAAAAGATTTTTAATTATCTACTTTTAGTTCAATAAGAATCTAGCGCTGAATAACAACTAAAACTACAGCTAACACTACAACTAATACTAGACCTAGAACTAGAAACATTCAAGTTTATACTTTCTAGTTGTAGGTTTAGTGTTAGTTCTAGTTTTACACTTGCACTGTTCCAATGTAGAACTAATACTATATCTAGAATTAGAATCATTTGGGTTTAGCCCCACGTCTCTAAAGACGGCTAAACCCGAATGATTCTAGTTCTAGGTATAGTGTTAGTTCTAGTTTTACACTTGCACTGTCACTAGAACTAACATTAGATCTAGAAATTTGGGTTTACCCGCATGTCTCTTAAAACGGCTAAACCCGAATGATTCTAGTTCTTGGTCTAACGCTGCATAATAATTAAAACTAGAACTAACACTAGCACTATCACTAGAACTAACACAAGACCTAGAACTAGAATCATTCGGGTTTAGCTGTCTTGAGAGACGTGCGACTAAATCGGAATGTTTTTAGTTCTAGGTCTAGTTAATTAGACAGAAAAGTCCTTAAGGTTGTATACGTTCGTATGGTTAACATATATTAAGTAAGATCATAAGTAATGAATGAGCAAAGAAGTGTCTGGTTGTCAAAAAGTGTCAAGAAGTGTTATAAAGTGATTAAAAGTATCAAGTTTCATATGTAATGAAATGACAATGAAGTTTCTGATTATCTAAAAGTGTCTAAATATATTAAAAAGTGCTAAAGATTGTCAAGAAGTATCAAAAAATGATTAAGTGTATAATTTAACCCTTTGTGTCCCGATGGTACTTTAAAGTATCGGTAGTTTTGAACACTCATTTTAAACTTATCTATTCGCTGGTCATCTATTCGGCTGATTTAGAGCTGTCGGTACTTTCTACTATACAAGAAAGAGTCTGTATAAAAAATGACGCAATCCGCACTGCAGGGTTTTTAGGTATATTTAAACTTATTAGTCCATATGTGAGGTTAGAAGTTTAGTGAAAAGTGGCGTTGCTGAATTTTGTTGTTTGTTCAAAAAGGTATCGCCTTGATAAATGGTTATTAGGTGTGATTATTATAGATCATTTTAAAACGAAAGCATTGAGCTTTAATTTAAAATAAGTCTCATTTCTTAATTTCAATAAGCACGGCTTCCAGGAATTTTTAAATTAGCATCTTTTTTGACACTTTTAGGTTATACGAAAATGTAAGTTTTGTTTCAACATTTTTTTTCTCAATATTTTTCCAATCCAACCCAACTATTATTATACATCATTTTAAAGATAAAGCTTTGAGCTTTAATTCAGAATAAGTCTCATTCCTTAATTTCAATAAATACGGCTTCCAGGAATTTTTAATTTATCAGCTTTTTTAACACTTTTAGGTTATACAAAAATGTAAGTTTTGTTTCAACATTTTTTTTCTCAATATTTTTCCAATCCAACCCAACAATTATTATATATCCAGTTAAACAGAATGCTTTAAGCTTCAATTTAAAATAAGTTTCATTTCTTAATTTCAATAAACACGGCTTCCAGGAATTTTGGAGTTAGCATCTTTTTTGACGGTTAGATTATGCGAAAATGTTAGTTTAAAAAAAAAAATATTATTTTTATATTAGCAATAAAAGTTTTTGTATACTGCAACATCACTAAAATATATTTTAATGCTTGACGGTACTCTCAAATTGATTCCAAAGGCCTTTACTGAGTGCATTTTGATAGCGTTTTAATTCTGTCACAAAGTTTCAAAATTTTTGACTTCTTGGGACACAAAGGGTTAATGTATAATAATCAAATTAATCAAATTGGAATTATTATAAATAAAACTGTATAGGCAACCAAATTAACAGTATAATTTGTTGCCTAATTTCTCTTTGATTAAAAGTAAATTTTTTAATAAAATTCTTTATAAAATTGTTTTTCTTTGATAAAATGTTATCGCAAAAGTGTCTAATTACTTCCATTGATACCCTGTTGGGTTTAAAAATTTCAAAATAGCTGATTGTAATGCGAAAACAATGAGTCGGATAAGGAATGTAAGGTGAGAGGAAAAAATGTTTATATAAAAAATTTTTATTATCTCATTATAAAAAGATGCCAATATTTACAAATTTTGTATTTGGTTTCGTAGCCGTGTTCGAGATTAATTTTATAAAAAGAAATTAATCTACGGTTTTATAATAAATTAAATCAAAATAACATAGTGTAATAATAATAATAATTACTCCGATTAGCGAGAATAATAAATAAGTTAATATAAATAAATATACTCGTATATAAGTACGATTTAATAAAAATAAATTATCATTAGTATAGGATTTTTTGATCACTCATAGACTAGGTTAATTTAAAAAGAAAAAAAAAACATCCATAAATAAATAAATAAAAAATTATTGCACATCATTTTCTTTTCCATTTCCGTTCGTTTGATTTCTAGCTCCTTCGGAATTATTGACTGGGGTCCATTCCCAATCGCCCTCTAAAGGCCGATCGTTTTCAAAATCAAAATTCCATTTTTCTTTAGCATCTTCACTCCTCGTTGGAAGATATTCAATGGGAATTTCGTCATTTTCATCGTTTTCGTCGTTTTGAAAGAGTCTTCTGCATACTGCCGGTTTTTGTGGGACCGATTCGTTAGGAGCCGGCATTTTTATCTGAAAATTCGATTTTGAAAATAATTCACATTTTTTTAAGTCAAATTTTAATGTTCAAAGTATACCAACTTAAAAATAAAATTTTAGTACCCAAAAGATTTTAATCTTGAGATACTAAAAATCAAAAACACTTCACATTTCGATGTTTTTAGATTAAATACTGTTCATTAGTTAAATTTTTTGATAAGATAAGAAAAATGTATTGATAAGATACAGCAAATGCAATTGGTTCCGAAATTAATCATTTCAATTAATAAAATTAATTAGTTTAAATAAAATGTTGATATTTATGGTTTTAAATACAATTTTCTTGTATAACCTACCTAAAGTAAAAGGAATCTTGAGAGATAGCGGTACCAACTGCACTTGACCGTTCGTCTAAGGCACTTGCAGCAGTACTACATACGTTGGGGACTCGGTTCGTATTGATTAGAAAATCGTATTGCGTGCGCACTCCGTTTTGCGACTATAATAATACAAAGTCGTACTCAAACGTTTGTTTTGTTAATTTATTACTCATTTCGAGTAGACCGCACGTCGCCGATTATTACAACAAGAACGTAGAGATTAAACTTACCTACGGGAAATAATTTATTTAATTAAAGCCAATTTCCGTGCACGTTCGCAGATGTTTAACTTTACAACCACTACTACCTAATACTACAAGCCTACAAGCAAAGAGGCGAGCTCTCCAACTAGGTAGAGTTGAAGGAATGGTTGTCGGTCTATTTTAGTCTCGGATACGGTGGGATGTGAAAGGGAAACCGATTTTAAAGTGAATTCCTTCGAGTTGGTATAAAGGTTTTATAAAAAAAATCTACATACCTTCCTGCCTTCCTACCTTCCTACATTTTTACCATCCTCAATGATTATCATGGTTTCGTTGGTGTTATCCATCAAAGTCTGTTGGAGCAGAACATCCTTTTCAAATTTAAACAAAAAGTGGTTCGGAAACACGCGAAACGAACAATTGAATGAGATCCAAAATGGTTTATACACTGAACTGTTTCAGTCGCCCCACCACATTGTTCCGCCGTCGCCGTTATTATTAGAGGCCTTAATTGCGATGGGCTTCCGGTGTTTGTTCCGTACGCAGAAAGCAAATCTCGTTGTGCAGAAATTTTTGCTTACGATGGGAATGCACCTGGTTAAGAATTCTCAGATTGTCAAGGTTAATTAATTTTCTTTAACTGTAGAGAGTCGTTTAAATAAATCACTTTGCATATATCACATAAATATAATCAAAGTGAATGTTTTAATTCTTTTTTTGATGAGTTACTTATTGGTCGAAGATAATGATACGGTGTGATGCTTTAAAGGAAGGACATCCTGTTTATTCTCTCGAAAATGGACTCAAAAGTATCCGCACCCTTAAAGGTGTGTACATCCTGAACGAAAATATTTAGGTGATTTATTGTCTTTTTTGAGATTTTCAAAGTTTTAAAAATTTTATGTGATAACGAGATTTGTATTAAAACTTCCTGTTTGTTTTTTTTAAATTAAGAACATCCACATCCCGGAAGGTAATATCTTCTAGGACATTTTAGTTGATTTATTGTTTTATTATTACTTGTATTGTAAGTAAGTCTTTCATCTGGTGGTTCTGCAATAGTTCGTTGAGCAAAAGAGCTACCCAACTTAAAATTTACCAAAGTTTCCATACTTAAGCTTAACTCTTTTAATCAGTTTTACGATAGGAAGTCAAACGCTAACAAAATCGGTGTTAATGGGACTCTTTGCAAAATACGCAAAAAGAAAATGTTATGATCAGAAGAAATTATGACAAGTAAACGCAAAATGTAAAAAGCAAAAATGATACGCAGATGAAAAAGTCGCAATTATTTTAAGGCAGAAAAAATATCTTGTATAGATACTAATTGTAACAAGAAAAAGCAAAATGTTATGCGTAGAGCAAAATATTATATTTAAGAACAAAATTCAATTAGCGGCAAATTGTAGATGCAGAAGCAATAGAAAACATTAATGTCAAAAGAAAACGATCGTGGTAGACAGTAACTAAAATATCGTGGGTAGATGCAATATTCTAAACGTGTGCAAAAAAAATATCACTGTTAGAAGCATATTATCATAATTGGAAGCATAATATCAGTATGTGTAGAAGAGATAACAAGTGCAAAAAGAGAATATCATCGTCGGAAGGAGATTATTATAATTAGGAGAAGCAAATTATCATGGCCAAAAGCATAATATTATAGGTAAAAGTAAAGTATCAGATGCAGAAGCAATATTCTAAATATATGCAAAGATATTATCATATCTTAAATGTAAATATAATTGTTAGAAAAAAATTGTCATAATCAGAAACAAATTATCGCAGACAGAATAAAATTACTAGAAGTAGAAGCAGAATAATAGAAGGAGACACTATATCATGAAAATTAGCTGATGAAAATATCATACAAAGAAGCAATATACCATAAGCAGAAACTAAATAGCACTGCCAGCAAAATAGCAATAAAATAGCATAATCAGAAAAAAATTGTCATATACAGAAGCTAGGTATCATAGCCAGAAGGAAATTATCACAACTAGAAGTAAAATATTCTAAAAATAATAGAAAGAAATAATATCATAAACATGTATAGAAGAAAATATCAATATCAAAAGCAAATTATTATGGTAATAAGCAAATTATCAAAAGTTGAAACAAAATATGGCAGTATTAGAAATAAAATATTGTAGGCAGAACCAAATTATAAGAATCAGATGCAAAAACGATACAGATACAATATCCTGAACGTGTGCAAAAAGATGTCACAGTCAGAAGCAAGTTATCATAAGCGGAAGCAAATTATCGTAATCAAAAGCATATTATCAGAACTAGAAAAATAATATTTGATGCAGAAACAATATCACAAACATGTGCAGAAGAAACTACCATGGTCAGAAGCAAATTACGAGAAGTAGAAGCAAAATATCATTGTTAGAATTGTTAGTACTAGAAGTAAGAGACAGAACCAAATTATGATCATCAGATTTAAAATAGATGCAGATCAACATCCTGAACGTGTGCAGACAAAATATCTCACTTATAAGCAAATTATTATAAGTGGAAGCAAATTATCGTAGTCAAAAGCATATTATCTGATCTAAACATAATATTAGATGCAGAAACAATACCATAAACATGTGCAGAAGAAAATATCGTTTTCAGAAGTAAATTAAGAGAAGTAGAAGCAAAATATTATTCTAAGAATTATTAGTAGTAGAAGTAAAATATCGTAGGAAGAACTAAATTATGAGAATCAGATTTAAAATAGATGCAGATGCAATTTTCTGAACGTGTATCGAAAAAATATCGCACTCTCAACAAATTATCATAGGCGGAAGTAAATTATCATGGTCAAAAGCATATTATCAGAAATAGAAGCACATTATTAGATGTAGAAATCCTTCTTGAGAGAGAGGTGAAGAACATGACAGTACGAATTTTCTCAGACAGTGAAGCTGCTCTCTAGGCGCTACAAGTCATGAAAACGGTGACTGAGTTGTGATAACAGAGTTTCTCTGATCTGGGTCCCGGGTCACTCTGGGGTTGCTGGCAATGAAGCGGAAGATGAGCTAGCACGAAAAGGCAGCGCTATCATTTGCTATGGCCAAACATAGGATTGAACTTGTGGCTGAAGAGAGACTTGGCCTACTGTGGACCAGTTCTCCTGGAATGAGACATGCTTAGGTGTTTATTAACATCGCCACTGTCAATCCCGGGAATATTTTAGGACTTGCTCGTAGCAGCATAAAAGTTCTAATGGGTGTCTTTATTGGGCACTGCCGATTAAAAGCACACCTCAACTTGTTGGGTTTAGCCAACGATGTTGAATGCTGACTATGCGCGGAGGAAGCAAATACGGTTTAGCATGTTTTATGCCACTGCCCTGCCGTTAATTTATCTCCTCAAAGAATCTGAATGACCTTTCACCGAGCAAGATATTAGTGTTCGTTAAGAGCATTGACTGACTGCACGGTGAAATTTGATAACGATATCTATCGGGGTATAATAGATCCTTGGTAATTAAATAGGTAGTAGATTGGTTGGTTCGCCTACCCGGTATGTAGTCTATGTTATGTAATGTAATGTAGATGTAGAAACAATATCATAAACATATACAGAAGAAAATACCGTGGTCAGAAGCATATTATTACAACTAGAAGTAAAATATCATAGGCAGAAACAAATTATGAGAACCAAATTCAAAATTTTATGCACAGAAACCATACCATACCGAAGATGTGCAGAAAAAAATCATAGTCAAAAGCAAATTATAACAGGCAGAAGCAAAATATCGTCGTCAAAAGCATAATATCACAACTTGAAGTATAATATTCATGCAGAAACAATAGCATAAATATATGCAGAAGAAAATATCATGCGTAGAAGCAAATTATTGCATTTAAAAGAATATTATCGAAGCAAAATACCAAACGTGAAAGCGCAAAAGTTAACTGTCATAAGTTGAAGCAAATAATCGTGTTCAAAGTCGAAATATTTGAGTTAGAAGCAAAATATTAAACAGAAATTATGTTACAAACGTGTGCAGAAGAAGATATTATAAATAGAAGTAAAATATCACAGGCAGAAACTAAAATAGAAACAAAATGTCATAAGCTTTGTTCGTTGGGCATGGCACTAATATGACGTCATAGTGCAATTAAGTGTAAGTAAGTGCAATGTCTTGTCAACTGAGTGCAAGTCAGAAAAGTGTGTAAACCATGGTTGCAACGAACAGATTTTTATCAAAAAAAGTGTATAATATGTTGAGGTTATGTTAATGTCAAAAAAAATATAACTATATAATAATTTTTTCGTTTTCTAATGAGTTTATTACAACTTAAGCTGTTAATAGACAAGCTCCACCAACAGCTTTAATTTTATCTTCTGCTGATTTCGAGAAGAATTTGGAATTAACAATGACGGGTTGATTTGGAATTCTTCCTTTGCCTAATAATTTATAATAGCCCTAAAAAAAGAAACAAATTAATATCTTATTTATAGTGTGTTGTCCATTTATCTATCTACTATCTTGTCGATTTTCTACTGCCTCTTCCAAATATTCCGCCATTTTAGTTACACTGAATTACACTGCACTTATTGAACTTAATCGAAAGAAGGTGCAACAAAATCTGCACTAACTTGCACTGGCTGCACGAAATTACACTGTGCATGGCCCAACGAACACACAACATCTGCACTAAACTGCTTGGTGTAAGTAGTGCAGTCCCAACGAACAAAGCTATAGTTTGAAGCAAAATTTCAGAAAAATGTCATGGTCAGAAGGCAAGTTACTACAAGTAAAAGCAAAACAGGAAGAGATTAGTTTAATCACACAAACTATGTTTTGTGTGATTAATCATATTCTAAATTAAATAAAATAAGAGAAAATTCACTCAATCAGCTGATTTCACCACAAATAAAGGAAGCAAAGAGATTTGTTAAATATATTTTTAGTGCAACATATCATACAAACGCTAAAACCTTTTTTTATATGATGAGCTATTTGAAATGAAAGACTTCCTATTTTGTAAAATAATGAACCCACTATCTAAAATGTATACATATAAGCTGTATACATCCTGGAGGAAGTTATGGAGGTTATAATTTTTTATGTTTGAAATTTGATAAAGAACCTCTACATATAACATTCTTTAAAAATGTTATTAATTAAGGTGATTTAACAAAAAATTTTATACCATCTCATTTTCTAACTTTACAATCTTTACCACCCTTCGTACCTGGTTAAAAATTCACAAGGTAACCTTTTCGGCCTCTACCAGAAACAGATGTTCCATTCGATTGGACGACTCAAGAATTTAACAGCAGCTGCTCCGCCGACTACGACGCTCTGAGGTGTATCCGAATTTGCGCCAGATGATCATTGGATTTTTGGCGGGAACTCAGCTTCTTAATTTCTCACCATTCTCAGCATAACCAACATTTTATATCCTTGCGAAGGACGTCGTTGTTTCCCACACACAGTACACAACACGCGGTTTATTACAGCAACGCTTACCACATGTCGTTCGTCCCCTGTAAAACGGCGCCTATTTTATTTTATATTTTTATAAAGAAGAAACAATAAAAAATTACTTTTTGTACTGGGCGCGGAATGCGTGTAATCGATTCGATAAAAAAGTTTTTGTTACTCAAACCGCGAGTGACTAACAAATGTACACGAACGCGGTTATCTCGCAGGTTTCGACACGCACAAACACGTCGAAAAGTGTTGCGTTGCGCTGCGTCGGGTCTCTTTGTTCGTAAATCTAAAAATGTCTCATCGTTTCGAAGCCATCGACACCGTTAATCATTATGGATGTGTGTACACGTAGACGTGTTTACTTTATTTTTCAAGACAGGAAGACGTAGTCGATTTCCTGCTTTCGGGTCCCTGTTAGCAGGAAACAGCCCAAGTTTGAAACTGTGCGTAGGCGATTGGGTTACAATATCAGGTTACACCGTTACATCCGAACGATAAAAGATGATTTTTATGAGTTTTTAACTAGAGTCTTAAATAGGAAATTGATGTATATGTTAACAAAAAAGATAATGAATGTTAAATGTTAATTTAGAATAGTGCAAAAAGTGAAATTTTCTCTGGTGTGCACATGGGTTTGGAATAAAATCATAAATCTTTCGTTTGTGGCACGGGCTGTTTCCAGACGTTAGGGACACGTGGAGGGATGGATGCTGAGCCCGCTCTTTTTTGGGGGACCCTCTTGTTTCATCCATAGTTTTTTTTTCTCGTCCGATGACGATGGTCGGGGCGATGCACCTGTCTGTCCCTCCTTCCTTAGTACAACGAGATAAGGTGTTGGGTTACGCCGGATGTTTAAAAGTGCACTTCCAGCCATCTGAGTTCTGTTCTTTACTTACACAAACTTTATTTATGGAAGAAGATTCTTACTACACAAAAAAATCGACCTTTTTTGTTAAATCGACTTCAACAATTATCTTTAACAAGGATAAATCGTTCCAATTGCATGCGATTATGTTTTCAGTTTTGAAACAACTTGTGAATGACCGAAAAAGATACATATTCATGAGGCGTTTGTTTTAACAGGTGTACGAACTGTCGGTCGGGAGGAAAATTGCATTTCCTGTCCCACAAGGATTCAAATCGCGCTGCATTTATTTTCCGGTAGGAAAGTTTCTGTGCGAAAATTCTTATCTGTTTCAACGAACTTTTGTGTGCAGATCGTTTCCTTCATTAACTTTGTTTTCTTCGACCTCATATAGCAGTCCTAACAAAAAACAATTCATCGATCCGTAACTTATTTTAGGTCATTATTTCCAATGACTAAAACCAATTAACATAAATTTAATTTACATAACAAACCAAGAATTTACTTGAAGATTGATTCGATTGTTAAAATGACATTATTCGGTCCGTAACAATTCTTTGTTCTTCTTAACATTTATTTTCCACTTGACCGATAGGGTTGTTTTGTCCTTTAACTTTTTGAACAGGTGGAAAAGATGTAAATCTACAAAGCGTATCATTACGCTGCGTGATTTTTATAATAACACAATAAATCTCGATGAAAATTTCTTTTTTTTTGAACCATTTCGGGTTACAGAAAATTACACTCGACGGTTTATTGTTCCGATTGTAAGTTCGTTTTAAGTATCTCAACAGGATGCTGGCAAAACAGCAGCTGTTGGTCGTACTTTGAAGCGTTTTACTGCCAAATCGACGCCGATGAATAAGTACGAGGGATTTTCAAATACTCGATGAACCGAGAAAAGGGTAACAAAGAAGCGCGTCAACCCTTAAACCGCAACAAATAACCCGTCAGTTTCGACAGCAGATGCTATTTTAAGATGACAATCAGTATTTTTTATTGTCTACGAGACCACTATTAAGATCTGATAACAATCAGAAAAACGAACCAAAAACAATGAGGTAAAAAATAATAAAGAAAAAAGCATGGTACCAGCAGATCTTTGTCGGTTTTATCTAAAGATTAAATTTGTGGTTACAATGTGGATAAAATTTCTTGTTTGAATGCATATCAATTTTCTTTTGAGTAATTGTCCTCTCATAATAGATACTCAAATTAAGTTAGATTGAGTTTGAAATTTAATGGTATTTTGATGTTTTGGGAATTTCCACTTTTTAACCAAAATAATATTATAACTAATTGTAAGTTAAATCTGATTATGAATTTGGCATTATTTTGTTATTAAGAACAGTTTACATCTATAATATACTTTTCCTCAGTCTTAGTTTTTAATCAATGATCGATTTTAGTAACGAAAATCGATAGTTTTGGTATTTTTTGAGATTTTGATTTCCTAACTAACAAATGGTTATAACTGACTGGAGTACTATTATGGATTATATATTTTTGACTCATTATAAACAATTTATGTCCAACAGATTTATCTCCATCGCTTTTAGTTTTTGAGTTATCATTGACTTACACAACGAAAATCATCAATATTAGGTATTTCCACTGTCTAACTACAATATGGTCATACTTTAACTGAATATAGTTATGTATTATGTCTCTTAGGTTCATAACAAACAATTTATTCCTAAAACATTTTTCTCCATCCCGTTTAGTTTTTGAATTATAATTGACTTATTACGACAATAATCATTTTGACGTTTTGAGATTTTCCAGTTTTTAACCAAAATATTGTTATACCTAACTTAAATCTGATTATGGATTTTGCATTATTTTGTTATTAAGAACAGTTTACATCTATAATACACTTTTACTCATTGTCAGTCTTAGTTTTTAAGCAATGATCGATTTTAGTAACGAAAATCAATAACTTTGATATTTTTTGAGATTTTGATTTACTAACTAATAAATGGTTATAACTGAGTTGAATATTATTATGGATTATGTATTTTTGATTCATTATAAACAATTTATGTCCAACATATTTATCTCCATCGCTTTTAGGTTTTGAGTTATCATTGACTTTAACAGCGAAAATCATCAATATTGATACTTTGGGTATTTTCACTTTCTAACCACAATATGGTAATACTTTAACTAAATCTAGTTATGAATTATGTCTTTTAGGTTGATAACAAACAATTTATTCCTAAAACATTTTTTTCCATCCCTTTTAGTTTTTAAGTTATAATTCACTTATTACGACAATAATCATTTTGACGTTTTGAGATTTTCCAGTTTTTAACCAAAATATTGTTATAACTAACTTAAATCTGATTATGGATTTTGTATTATTTTGTTATTACGAACAGTTTACATCTATAATACACTTTTACTCAGTCTTAGTTTTTAAACAATGATCGATTTCAGTAACGAAAATTAATGATTTTGATATTTTTTAAGATTTTGATTTTCTAACTAACTGAGTTATAACTGAGTTGAATATTATATGGATTATATGATTGAATTAACAACGAAAATCATCAATATTGATACTTTGGGTATTTTCACTTTCTAACTACAATATGGTAATACTTTAACTAAATCTAGTTATGTATTATGTCTCTTAGGTTCATAACAAACAATTTATTCCTAAAACATTTTTTTCCATCCCTTTTAGTTTTTAAGTTATAATTGATTTATTACGACAATAATCATTTCGACGTTTTGACATTTTCCAGTTTTTAACCAAAATATTATTATAACTAACATAAATCTGATTATGGATATTGCAATATTTTGTTGTTAAGAACAGTTTACATCTATAATATACTTTTCCTCGGTCTTAGTTTTTAAACAATGATCGATTTTAGTAACGAAAATTAATGATTTTGATATTTTTTAAGATTTTGATTTTCTAACTAACTGAGTTATAACTGAGTTGAATATTATTATGGATTATGTATTTTTGACTCTTTATAAACAATTTATGTCCAACATATTTATCTCCATCGCTTTTAGATTTTGAGTTATCATCGATTTTAACAACGAAAATCATCAATATTGATACTTTGGGTATTTTCACTTTCTAACTACAATATAGTAATACTTTAACTAAATCTAGTTAAGAATTATGTCTTTTGGGTTCATAACAAACAATTTATACTCGAAACATTATTCTACATCCCTTTTAGTTTTTGAGATATGATTGAATTAACAACGAAAATCATCAATATTGATACTTTGGGTATTTTCACTTTCTAACTACAATATGGTAATACTTTAACTGAATATAGTTATGTATTATGTCTCTTAGGTTCATAACAAACAATTTATTCCTAAAACATTTTTTTCCATCCCTTTTAGTTTTTAAGTTATAATTGATTTATTACGACAATAATCATTTCGACGTTTTGACATTTTCCAGTTTTTAACCAAAATATTATTATAACTAACATAAATCTGATTATGGATTTTGCAATATTTTGTTGTTAAGAACAGTTTACATCTACAATATACTTTTCCTCAGCCTTAGTTTTTAAACAATGATCGATTTTAGTAACAAAAATCAATAACTATATTTTTTGAGATTTTGATTTTCTAACTAACAAATGGTTATAACTGAGTTGAATATTATTATGGATTATGTATTTTTGATTCATTATAAACAATTTATGTCCAACATATTTATCTCCATCGCTATTAGTTTTTGAGTTATCATTAACTTTAACAACAAAAATCATCAATATTGATACTTTGGGAATTTCCACTTTCTAACTACAATATGGTCATACTTTAACTAAATCTAATTATGAATTATGTCTTTTGGGTTCATAACAAACAATTTATACCCAACACATTTTTCTCCATCCCTTTTAGTTTTTGACTTATGATTGACTTTAACAATAAAAATCATCAATTTATATAGTTTAGTTATGAATTATATCTTTTGAGTTCATAACAAACAATTTATTCCTAACACATTTTTCTCCATCGCTTTTAATTTTTTAGTTATAACTAACATTAACAAGGAAAGTCATCATATCACCATTTCTTGAATTTTTATATCTTTTTATGAACAAAGTTGCAATTTTTGTTGACAATTTTCACTTAGAATTTTGTTAATTACTAAAATTAGACATAACGGCAATTTAATTGGTTATTAAATATGTTTTTTTAGTTTCAATAAACAATCTTTATTAATTACGTTTTTTTTTAATAATTTTTGGAATTAAAGTTTATTTTAAGAATTATGGTCAAGTTAATGTACGATAACATAGCTTATTCAAAAACATTGAAATATATCTTGAAACTTGTGAAAAATTTCAAAAAGAATTTCAAGATTGAACGATTAAATAATGATTCATCGGTTCGAAAGCGGTTCTTTTAGTATGACTCACAGGTTGGTCGGTTAAGTTGGGGTAAGAAAAAGGTTCCCTACTTCTTCTCCTTTGTGTGGAGGACCTAAAGGATCCATATTCCAACCTGCGCGGGGAGACAGGTGCTCGTTTTAGTCCTTGTTGGCGTTTCGCGCCAAAACTTACGAACAGCTGACGACCTCCGGCCGTCGGTCCAGAGAAAAAAGACCGCAAGTTTTACCTGTTACTCATCTTCAGTTTTAAGACCATCCACAAGATGTATCATCATTACTTATTTTTTTCCCTTCAAAAAAATACAAGCACCTTTTTAACCTCAATAATTTTTAATAAATCGATATAAAATTTATCTACGTTAAACAGATGTCATAAAAAATAAAGAGGGATCATTTTTCTTTCGACGAAATCCAATACTATCGAATGACCAAAAACGCGACATATGGTCATCATTGGAAGTTGCACGGTGATAGACCGAAAAATGTATGAAATTTAATCAACGAAACAGATGGTTTGGTTGAAGGGACAAAAGAAAAAGATAAATTTAATGAAAACGATTAATTTATTTCTAATTCTGTTAATAGATTAATCATTAAATGAAGGAGAGGAGCGGTTTTTAATTGTCGGTTAAATTGAGTTAATTAAAACAATTAACTGTTAAAGATAAATTGTCGGTGCGATTATAACCAGGACTGGATTAACTTATTTTGAACTCACAAGAAATATCATCCTTCTTTTTGTAATTAACACTAGCACAGTGAACATTGTGGTTATCTTTTCTGCAACACTTAAGGTTACAATCGTATTACTTAGTTTTTGCAAGTAGTTGATTAGATTTTCATGCTGGGATGATCTCTACTAATCAAAAGTCTCTAAAATTTCAATCTTTTAATCTTTACACTCTTTAAACAATTTTAAATGATTCAACTGAGGTTAGATAGCTAAATGCAGCAAGAGATGCCAGTAATCACGATGTTGTAAAAATGTTTCCGTTGTTAATTTAATATTTTAAGCCTAATGAGGGAGGAATTCAAGTAAATTTGCTGGACATAGAGATCAACATAATGAAACTTCAAATCTCCAAATACATCTTCTTGACCTCAAATGAACTCGGCTAGGACAGAAAATCTATGTCTTTAATTAATTACGTTTTAGTCGTTTGCACCCGAGGCGCTAGATCAACCATACCAACTAAAAACTAGTCAGAATGATGCAAACCCGCAAGCGACCTATGATTAAACCGAGGTTGCTTGTGTCCGAGACGCTACAATATGTTGACTAGTCTTTATTGTAGCGCCTCGGCTTAATCACACGAAATCATGCAATTACACCACAATCAGGTGAAAGATGAAATCCTCTGTACAAAGCTGAAAAAACGAGGTCACTTACAGCTAGAGATGTTATAAACTAGTATTTTTGAGGCACAGGTACAATATGTTTTAGTTCCTAAAAACTACATAGTTCCAAATACCTGTTACAACAGTTTCTCTGTATCATCCTAGTGACATAGCATAAATCCCCAATATGTTAAAATAGGATGATTTTTCTTAATAAAATCAATTATAACCTAAGTACTAAAAATGATGGAGAAAGACGTTATGAATAAAAAATATTCCTAAAGGATCAATAAATCATAATCCATACTTATTTCATATTTATTTATCACCAGTTTCTAGTGATATAATATAAATTCCCAAAATGTGAAATTTGGATGATTTTTCTTAATAAAATCTATTATAATCTAAATACTAAAAGTGATGGAGAAAGACGTTATGAATAAAAAATATGTCTAAAGCATCAAGAAAGCATAATCCATACATATTTCATATTTATCTATCACCAGTTTCTAGTGATATAGCATAAATCACAAAATGTCAAAAATGAATGTTTTTTCTTAATACAATTAACTACAACATAAATACTAAAACTGATGGAGAAAGACGTTATGAATAAAAAATATTCCTAATCCATCAAGGAATCATAATCCATACTTATTTCATATTTATCTATCACCAGTTTCTAGTGATGTAACATAAATCCCCAATATGTCAAAACTGGATGATTTTTCTTAATAAAATCAATTACTTACAACCTAAGTACTAAAACAGATGATGGAGAAAGACGTTATGAATAAAAAATATTCCTAATCCATCAACAAATCATAATCCATAATTATTTCATATTTACCTATCACCAGTTTCTAGTGATATAACATAAATCCCCAATATGTCAAAATAGGATGATTTTTCTTAATAAAATCAATTACCTATAACTTAAGTACTAAAACTGATAGAGAAAGACGTTATAAATAAAAAATATTCCGAAAGTATCAAGAAATCATAATCTGTAATTGTTTCATATTTATCTATCACCAGTTTCTAGTGATATAGCATAAATCACAAAATGTCAAAAATGAATGTTTTTTCTTAATTAAATTAACTATGACGTAAATACTAAAACTGATGGAGAAAGACGTTATGAATAAAAAATATTCCTAATGCATTAAGAAATCATAATCCATAATTATTTCATATTTATCTATCACCAGTTTCTAGTGATATAACATAAATTCCCAAAATGTCAGAAATGAACGATTTTTCTTAATAAAATCTATTATAATCTAAATACTAAAACTGATGGAGAAAGATGTTATGAATAAAAAATATTCCTAAAGCATCAAGAAATCATAATCCATACTTATTTCATATTTATCTATCACCAGTTTCTAGTGATATAACATAAATCCCCAATATGTCAAAATTGGATGATTTTTCTTAATAAAAACAAAACCGTTATTGCAGGAACCGTTATACAAAAGTGTATAATACGCAGTAGGGTCATCTATCGCTTTTAGCTCTTTTGTGTATCCAGAGGTGAGCCCTACAACGTTTATAACATCCATGGTATAATGTTTGGCAGGATCCGTTTCGTTCATCTCGCCTTGCCGGTGTCTCCGCTCCATCTATTTCTCCACTCTTGCAGAAGTATCTGTAGATTTACTGTATTATGTTCCTCTTCTGTGTTCAAGCATCTCGTTATTCACAATTTACTCTTAATCTATTTACTCTTCTATGTGAGCCTACCACTTCAGGTTCTTTCCAAACATCACGCCGATGTATTTAAGTGATCAAATTTGCAATACTATCTTTCTTCCAGCCGGTTATAACGATAGCCAAGCCGTTCATGTTCGCCACTAACTTTATAGCTTTCATCAGCGTTCCCCCTAGGATTTGGTCAAAGAAGATGTTCCAGAGCAGGAGGCTCAAAACTAGAACTCTTCTCATTTGGAAGCTGTCGTTGTTCGCTTCATATTCCCTTATTACTATGCAGTTCACTATCTGCTCTCATGGTGCAGAGAAAAAAGCATTTTTTGCATCAAGAGTTATAAAGACTCATAATACATTTTCCTGACATTTTACAAAGCACCTTGCCTCGATAGTACATGATTTTTTGTGTCCACACGTGTGTCGTATTTATTTATATAACACTATTTCCGGTGTTATTCAATCTTGTCCCGGAGCCTTTCTATTTCTTAGGCTTTTTGCGAGCTGTATCAGTTCCTCTTTGTCACCTCTCTAATTTTTTGACATTCCCTCCGTTCTTGCCTGTACCACGTAACCCTGTTCGCTTCTGAAAATAGCTCTTTAATCAAATTTTGTAGCTCATGGTCCTTAAGTATCACTCTCAGCATGTTTTTAGTCCTTTTAGGGTTATTTTGTAAGAGTCTCCCCATACGTCATCCTCAAGTTCACAGCAGACTTTCTTCCAGCCCAACCCAACCCAACTCAGAACGGAAACCCGATTAAATTTACAATTAGTAGAAGCATTTGCCTTATTATTCGAGCATTTGTTGTAATTCGATTCAGTAATTTATGGTGTAAAGGAAAAATTTAGCTTGATTCAGCCGAGGTTGCACCATATTGTATAGGTTGGTCTAATTAAACCGAGATAGCTTTAATGATTAACAATAACATTGTAGAAATGGAAATTCGACAATTATTTTCTCAAAACCGAAGCGAGATTTTTAAAGTTGGATGAAAATAACTAACCTTGAGAATTGATAAGAAGTTGAACTTGGAAAAGTAATAAATAAACTCAACCTATAAATATTATAGGTGACTCAATATGCGTTTCATAACAAAATAAATATTTTTAGTTAATAATTTATTTAGTTTATTCATAACTGTTTGTTTGTTCCAGTTGAGTGTTGAATTTAAACGAGTTTTAAATTGTGTCATCACCTATCATGACGAGTTGCTTAATAAACACGTCTTCACTTGACGAAGTTTAACGTTCCTGTTTAGTCTAAGCGAAAAAAAAAGTGAAGTGGGGAAAAATGATATCACACAACAAATTTTTAGATTCATATAGTTTATTGAAAAAATAATATTAGTTATCAAAAGACTAGAAAGTCGCTTAGAAATTCTATAAAAAAAAATAATTATCATCGTAATGACAAAAAATAAATTACTTAATAAATATAGATGTCTCATTGCAACGCCCTTTATAAAATAGGGAATTAATTAGTATTTACAAAGATAATTAACTTCTTTATGTACATCACTCTTTCGTTTTGGTGGATTAAACTTCTGTTTTCTCTTCTTTACTTTTCAAAATGGATTGGCATCTTTTCCTTACTTGAAATATATCTGCAAAAGAAATAAAAGTAAAAACGTTAATTTGATCGTTTTAAAAATGACACAACAGCTACTAATTATAGCTTATAATAATTAAGAACCAGAGCTACTTTAATGACCACCCGGGAAATATGCTCTAATTAAGCGTTAGTGACAGTATTTAATCGCTTTATCTTGTGAAAAGAATGAGCCCAAGGTTGTCGAAGTTGCAAATAATTGTGAAAATAAATTTCAAATAGATATTGAATAAAAATTTAATATTTCTTCTTTTTCTGAACTAGAATTCCAAAGATATTTAAGTGTAACATTTTTGTATGTAAAAGTCGTGCTTTACCACTTTCGTATGCAAACGAAGAATCTCGGTACCGTTTCTTCTCAAAACGAACCGAAATTCAATCACTTCCTTTTTATATTTTAATATTCCCAAGCATGAATGATAATACCGTTTTGTTGTGTTGTTACAAGATGGAATAATAATGATAAAAATTAATTTTATAACTTACCGGTTAATCTAGCTTGTTTATTGTAAGGTTTCAACACGTTATCCAAAGACCTCCTTTTCTTATTCACTTTCACCTTTCCATTTTCTTTCATTTTTTCAAAATTCTTTTCCAATTCTAAAATATCCACATCGTATCTATCTAATAATCGTTTCCGATCGCACTCGAATTGCTCATCCAGCATCCGTTTCGTTTCTTCGGGATTCGAAGGGCCGAACAAACACTTTTTAACTTCTTTAGCTTTCTCTTCGTTTTTACAAACATTTTCTGCGTTATCTTTTTCAAGATCTCCGACGGGCAGGAGTCTTCTTTGGCAAAGAATCACGTTTAAATTCATTTGGACCAACGACATGATTAACTTGAAACTTTAATTATTTTTATTAAAATTCGATATTTTCACTTCGTAATTTTTTTTTGACGAAACTTTTACTTGGTGTTCGTCAACGCCACGAAAATAAGAACGCTCTGAGCACGTTGATGGCAAGTTAGTGTATTTATGGGCGCCCCACCACCAACGCCGTTTGCTGCCGTTAAGGAACCAATGAAATGAATGAATGGGGCCAAAAAACTTGGCTTTTTTTTGAGAATAGATAATTGTTTTGTTAAATTGTTATTTAATTTGCTTTTCTTCTAAAATAATGAAAAAAGTTGAGTTAAAAAGGTATCGTGAACGTTAAAATGTACTTAGATAAATTAGATTTTTTGTTGTTTACGGTGTTTTATAACATACAAATGTTGTTAAGATATTTTTATTGATGTTTTTTATTAACTAATCAAAACAACCAAATCTATTTACAATTGATTTATTTTTTAATAAACAGTTTACTTCTTTAGTATTTTAAATCCAATAAAATTGTCATATTCTGTAATAAAAAGAACCTCAAGCTCATGTGAACCCGTTATGGAGGCGAATTAAAAAAAAAGCTTTATATCAATATGAAAAGAACACACTCTGAGCTATCAAAATCGCGGTTTTGTCCGGTCAATATCATTTGGCGCTAGCTAACAAATACGGCTAATAAACAACCCTACATACAGAATCGGCTTTTTCAATACAACTTTTTTGTTTGATAGGAACAAAAAACTAAAGTAATTAGGAAATTTTCTGCTCTTTCTATAGGTACATAACAAAAATCGAATAAGAGATTTGAAAACTATTTCTTTTGTAAAAACAGTCCTACTTAGCATAAAATCACTTTTAGTATAATATCCTATATGATACGGACGAAACTCCGAGACCATATAGAATCTATAGGCAATTTTATGGTTTATGCAGTTTACTTGATAACATGTTGCACAAGCATTGTTTCTCCAAAAACTGCAAAAACCGCGTATAATTACTATATGTCAATATTTAGAGCGTCATAACTTTCTTATATTGTTACAGGCAAAACTGTGAGACCACATAGAATCTATAAGAAATGTTCTGCTCTACAGTGTGTTAATTAATTATCATACCCGACATCATCATTGCATGTATACAACCAAAATCACAGTATTTATTTTATAATATGCGATTTGCTTATTGCAATACCAATACTGTGATATTGGTTGCATACTTGCAATGATGACGTAGCGTACGATAATTAATTAACACACTGTATGTAGTGATATATAACTTTAGTAGATCGTATGGTTGCACAAGGACTTTTCCCCAAAGACTGCAAAAACTGCGTATAATTACTGTATATAAATGTTTACGGCGTCATAACTTTCTTATATGATACGGACAAAACTCGGTGTCCATATAAAATCTATAGAAAATTTGCCGCTCTATACAGTGGTATACAACTTTAGTAGATCGCATCATTGCATAAGCATTTTCACCTAAAAACTGCAAAAACCGCGTGTAATTACCGTATGTCAATATTCACAGCGTCATAACTTTCTTATATGATACTGACAAAACTGTGTAATCATAAAGAATCAATAGGAAATTTTCCGCTCTATACAGTGGTATACAACTTTAGTAGATCTCATGGTTGCACAAGGATTTTCCCCCCAAAAACTGTAAAAATCGCGTATAATTACCGTATGTTAATATTCGCAGCGTCATAACTTTCTTATATGATACTGACAAAACTGTGTAATCATATAGAATCAATAGGAAATTTGCCGCTCTATACAGTGGTATACAACTTTAGTAGATCACATGGTTGCACAAGGATTTTCAACTCAAAAACTGCAAAAACCGCGTATAATTACCGTATGTCAATATATAGAGCGTCATAACTTTCTTATATGATACTGACAAAACTGCGTAACCATATAAAATCAACAGGAAATTTGCCGCTCTATACAGTGGTATACAACTTTAATAGATCGCATGGTTGCACAAGGATTTCCCCCCCCAAAAACTGCAAAAACCGCGTATAATTACCGTATGTCAATATATAGAGCGTCATAACTTTCTTATATGATACTGACACAACTGCGTAACCATATGGAATCAATAGGAAATTTTCCGTTCTATACAGTGGTATACAACTTTAGTAGATCGCATGGTTGCATAACCATTTTCCTCCAAAAACTGCAAAAACCGCCTATAATTACCGTATGTCAATATATAGAACGTCATAACTTTCTTATATGATACTGACAAAACTGTATAATCATATAGAATCAATAGGAAATTTTCCGCTCTATACAGTGGTATACAACATTAATAGATCACATGGTTGCACAAGGACTGTCCCCCAAAAAACTGCAAAAAGCGCGTATAATTACCGTATGTCAATATTTAGAGCGTCATAACTTTCTTGTATGATACCGGCAAAACTGTGAGATCATATAGAACCAATAGAAAATTTTCCGCTCTATACAGTGGTATACAACTTTAATAGATCAGTTGCACAAGGACTGTCCCCCAAAAAACTGCAAAAAGCGCGTATAATTACCGTATGTCAATATTTAGAGCGTCATAACTTTCTTGTATGATACCGGCAAAACTGTGAGATCATATAGAACCAATAGAAAATTTTCCGCTCTATACAGTGGTATACAACTTTAATAGATCGCATGGTTGCACAAGGATTTTCCCCCCAAAAACTGCAAAAATCGCGTATAATTACCGTATGTCAATATATAGAGCGTCATAACTTTCTTATATGATACTGACAAAACTGCGTAACCATAAAGAATCAATAGGAAATTTTCCGCTCTATACAGTGGTATACAACTTTAATAGATCACATAGTTGCACAAGGACTGTCCCCCAAAAAACTGCAAAAAGCGCGTATAATAACCGTATGTGAATATTTAAAGCGTCATAACTTTCTTATATGATACCGGCAAAACTGTGAGATCATATAGAACCAATAGAAAATTTTCCGCTCTATACAGTGGTATACAACTTTAATAGATCGCAAGGTTGCACAAGGATTTTCCCCCCAAAAACTGCAAAAACCGCGTATAATTACCGTATGTCAATATATAGAGCGTCATAACTGTCTTATATGATACTGACAAAACTGCGCAACCATATAGAATCAATAGGAAATTTCCCCCTCTATACAGTGGTGTACAACTTTAGTAGATCGCATGGTTGCATAAGCATTTTTCCCACAAAAACTGCCATATGTAAATGTTTACGACATCATAAATTCCCTATATGATACAGGAAAAACTGTGAGACCATATAGAATCCACAGGAAATTTTCTGCTCTATAATTTTTCCATCAAAACCAATGCGCTCCACATTGACAAGAAAGCATGTAATGTCTCAATTCTCCAGGAATAACGAAAAGGAAGAAAATGCAAACATAGACTCATATAATTCATTGTGATGATCTTAAAAAGAGCTATACTCATACGTTGACAATAATATAAACATAACTACCTCAAGTGATTCAGTTATTTAATAACCATTAGATTTCTCCATACAAGATGTTTATTATGTAATCGTAGTCATGCAAATATCTCACAATAGCAAAAGAACCACAAGGTTAGCCAGTAAGTTATTCAAGGAAATATCTTGTAAATATCTTATCGCATAGTTACAGAGGGGACATTGTAATACACACTCGAAACATCTCTCGAAATACCTGAGATTGCTTATTTTTAACCGTTTCTTCAATAACCAGAGAAAGGTAATTAGAGTTCTATGTGGTTTCAAATCTTGTTCCCAATACAAGATAAATGTTATTTCTACAATTATTTATCATTCCTTTTGTTTTTTAATCCCAAGTAATTAATTATCGCTTAAAAAACTTGAATAATTTAGTAATGCTTGTTTTAAAATTGTAAAACCATACTCGCTTTTGTCCGTTCTAATCAAAAGTAAACATTCTGCACAATGTTTATACAAGATAACAAGAATAAACGTTTATTGTTAAACGATATCGTTAATTTATTCTTATTGGATAATAAAAATCAAAAAATAAATGTAGAGTTCATTAATATTTCTTTCTTTTGGTGCTCTTTATAAAGGTGGTGAAAAATACGTTGAAATTCCGAAATCGATTAATTTTGATTGAACGAGCACCGAACGGAAGTACAATTACGTCTCGCCCGTTAGGTTTATATCGTTTACGTTATTTTTGGGGGAGTGAAGTGAAACTTTGCAATATACCACGATATATAGCGGGAATAAAGGGCAGGGAACCACCCCCGAACTAATTTCACACGTTCTCCGACTATCCGTAAATGCATTAATATTAATTGCATTCTCAAATTGATTTTATCTTAACGACATCAATAAAATTTATTGCGAGAGAACGTTTCTAGTAATGTTTATTTTAAATTCTATTTATTTATTTATATAAAAATTGTACTTTTTCGCCTTAACATAGGCAACCAAATTTGTTATCGTGGTTGCATAAAATAAAAGACATCAATAATTTTGTGTTTATTTATAATAAAGATTTTAAAAAGGAATAAAAAATTTGTATCCGTTGGGATAGGACATAGAATGGGGGCGTTTTTGGTGACCGGAAGTGGGGCATTGACGGTAAGGTACGAATGCTCGTTACGCTTCGTCGAGAAAGACGGTTAGGATCATGCACCATAACGCACCGGATTTTAAAAATTCTCACATAAATTAACTTAAAAGAGATAAAACTAAATCATTAAACTAGTATTGTAAAAATTTTAAAAAAATCTTTACAATTTTACAATTACAAATCATTATATTTATGTTTGCATAGTAAAAAATAAAAGTTGTATTTATGCTTATAAAGTAAAAGGTATAATTTATCATTTTGCAGTAAATAGAAGGTATGAATGACATCCAGGTGAATGATGCGCTCTGTTGGAAAGCATTATTGCCTATGATGTATCATCCAGGTGTTGATATGATGACGCCAATTGAATAAAAACGTTTTTGATAGGCACGTGGCAGACACCCGCATACCTTTTTAGAAACGATTAGTAAAATTAGTTAATACTGCCTGAACACGTGGTTAGATTCCTTAAAATTCAGCTGCATGTTAACAAAATTTACATATCAACCTCTTCATCAAAATCTTTTTGTATGTAATACATAACAAAATTTAACAAACATACCAAAAATTAGACCATTAGTAAATTAGTATGCTCATAGTTTATTAATTAATTAATGAACGAAAATGTTTAAATTTATTGAACTTGTTTAACCTTGTTGATTTATTGACTAAAAATATCCGAATTTCTAATTTAATAATTCCGCGGAATTAATTTGTAAATTTTTAATATTGAATCTAATTGATCATGTAACGACAAAATATATCCACTAATAAAAAGTTTAAAAATACAATATCATTTAATTCGTATTCTGAATTTTGATTATATTTGATTAATAATACGTCATACAAATTTTGACGTTAAACGTCAAAATGTCGTTTAAGGTTATGTTATCAATTAATATCATTTGTGGTGTTTTATAAATTATAAGTTGAATATGTATGATATATTTATACAGAAAACAAATGTATGACATGCCCAAAAAGCGTCAGAATGATAAGATTTGTCCCCGGATCATATAAATGCTTAAGATCAAACAGTGGAATGATTAGTGTAGTAGGTAAGGAAATTCATGCGGGATTTGTGTCCCTTCATTAGAGGTTGAAGAATACTACCGCTTGCCAGATCAATTAACTATTTTTTCTGCGGAGGCTTACTTACGCCATCTTAAGAGCAATTGCTCAATCTTTGGAAATAGAAATCCCCTACTTAAGTGATAATTATAACAGATTACCGAAGCACACTCGAGCGTATTAAGAACCCAAACCTTAATAAGCAATCCTTATAAATCCTTTGCAATCGGCAAGATATTGATGACACAAATCAAATAAAATTAGTACCAACCTACGTTACAAAAACTTCCATTTTTCAAAAAAGTTACCTTTGTATCTACACTGTTATTACTAGACTGAGAATAGGACATGTGCTATGCCCCACCTATTTGTTTAAAATTAGAATTAAAGATACCCCATAATGCAAATGCGGCGAAGAGGGTGATCTAGACTCTAGACCATATCTTTTTCGCCTATCCAAGATACTCTAATCAACGACAGAAACTATTTGCAGGTTTATTTAAGAAACATATACCAATTATAAGGTAATTGCAGCAAATTGTACCCTTAACACAATGTTCTGTAACTTTTTGCTCCCAGATGCATCAATGTAGAGAATTTTTCAAAAATGTATAGATGCATGATATAGAAAAGCTTTTACAACAAAAGTTGTAGCAAATTATACCCTTAACACAATGCCATCCAACGTTTTTGCTCCCAGATGCATCAATGTACAGAATTTTTCACAATACAGAAAAACTTTTATAACAAAACTTGTAACAATTTACCAATTAACCTGGTATCATTGCTAACTACCGGCTCATTTGAGATATACTTCATGTTGTTTGAATATGTTAAATCTGCTCTACTTGATAATAGTATCATAAAAGTCTGGTCACCACGTAAAATCATTTCTACTTGTGTTTGTTTGTTGTTTTCAGAATTGTCGTATTTTATATTTGTAAATATTGTAAGAAATAAAATCTACAGGACAAAAAGTTTTAAGAGCAGGGAGCCAAAGAAACAAGAAAGTATACAATACAACAAGAGTCAGTGGAAACTCTGTAGCTGGAAATGATATAAACGAGGAATTCGAACTCCAAAACCTAACTAAATGTCAATCAATCAACTTATAAGTTAATTTTGGGGTAATACAATTAATTGGTTAAATTTCTTCTAATTAAATTATCTTTAGTATTTAGCTGCTTCATTGGGAATTAGAATTATAAGAGAAACTATACTAGAAAGTATAACAGTAACTATAACTCATGATTGCTAATTAAGGACATCTTAGAGAAGGAAAAGCAATTAAAAGATCAAGACCAATAATAAAGATTGATGAATGTCAATAGAACGTAATTAACAAGATGTGTTTGCCGATTTTAAAATAAAAAACATCACAAATTAACTTAAAAAAGGATATTTAATATACTTAAAATTTAATTAAAAACTAAATAAATGAGTATTTACAAAGTATTTCGAAAAGAAATTTAATCTCTTTTAAATCGCAACGATTTTAGCAAAACTAAGAAATAAGAAAAATACGTATACAATGCAAACATTATTAAAATCTACTTAAAATGTGAGAAAAAATTGTGCTTAAAACTTAATTATTGTATATTTACATAAGTTAAAAATGATTTTCTTTGGTTCCTAAAAGAAAGATTGAGCAAAAATATTTTTGGAAATGCATCATTACCGATGTGTCAAAATATAAATCATTTTCCTGGATTTATTTTTCAAGCAAAATTGGTAAATTAAAACGATAATAACTAAAAATGAGACGCTAAAAACTCCGACGGAAGCTGAAATGATTAACGTTGTTGTTCCTTCTTCTTCATCATCTAAATTATCGGCTAGAAAATAAATTAAGTTAGGCAACTTCTTTTACACACTTTTTTTAACTTACCCATTAATCGCCCGTTTAAATACATTTCCGTCGTTAAATCAACATCAAACAAAACCAAACTTAATCCTTCTTCATTTTTATTAAAATCGCCCAATTTTAATTCATCAATTTTAATATTTCCACCAATCAAGGCATTAAATTCATTTAAATTTTCCTTAAAAATGTTATCAATTTCATCTTTTCCGTTAACGTTAACGTGAATGCTTTGTAATGTAATTACATCATGTAATATTTTAAATTTTAGTTCTAAATAACTCGATTCTTGTTGTATTATTAAAATAGGTTCGTACGAGTTAACACAAATCTTGTTAAATTGATCGAGATATTTAGGAGATTCCAATTCGTTATTTTCCGTGATTAAAATAAATTGATACCCAATCATCCCCATAAAACAGATTTCAACGTTTTCATCGAATTCTTTCGATTTTAAAGACGTGTGATCGTAAGTTTCAGTTACCCCGTCTCCTTTTTGATCAGTCTCGATATTTTTTAAAAGATATTTTAAATCGTAATGAGCCAAAGTTTCTAATTTAACATTTTTCGTTAACGTTTTTAAAGCCATTTTTTCGTTTTGTTTTAGATCCGGCCATAATTTCAATAAATAATCATCAAGATTGGGAGAATGTTTCTTTAAATCTTCTTGTAAGTTTTCATTTGAGTCATCTTCAACACTTACAATGTTAGCTGATTCAATTTTTTCTGATTTAATTTTTTCTGATCCAATTTTTTTTGATTCAATTTTTTTTGATTCAATTTTTTCTGATTCAATTTTTTCTGTTGTAATTGTAATTTTGTCGTTGTTTTCAATGAAAGTAATGTTTTCAGAATTAAATTTACCATTTCCAACGAGTTTTTCTGTCAAGATTGATGCGTTTTTATTTTCTGAAGAGGTTGTTAATTCTTTGAAAGGATCAATATCGATTATATTCGTTTTAATTGGAGAAACTGTTTTTATATCTAAACCCAAAAACTCTAAAACATCGTCTGGTTTATTAACCAATTCGTTTGGTGATGAATTTATTATTTTTAACCATTCATCTTCTGTAATTGGTTTTAAAGTTATTATCTCAGTTAAAGGTGTTATTTGATTCCCATTTTCAAGCTTTGTGGTTGTTGATTCAAGAATTATTTCTTTATTGAAATTATCTGTTAATATATTTGATGTAGATTCAAATAAAGTTTCATTTTCGGTTTCGTTCTTGATTAAAATGATAATTTCCTCCTCAATTTTAGAATTTTCTTGAGTATCACCTTTGGAATCATTATTTTGACTAAAAAGTTTCAAATTTAATATTTCCACTGTTTTATTCCCATTTTCTTCTTCATTCCTTTTTGAATCATTAACATCAAATTTTTCAATAATAATTTCTGCGAATCCATGTTTTCCTTTTCTTCTATTCAAATCTTTCGGTTTTTCTTTAACACTTTCTTTCTCATCCCCAATTTCATCCCCGGATCCTTCAATTTCCAAATTTCTTCCCTTAATCCCAACGAAATCATTTCCAAATCCAGATCCTTCCATCTCAAATTCCTTATTGTTGCTAATCTTGTCATAAGAACCATTAAAAATGTTAACATCCTCAAAATCATCTTTATTTTCGTTATCTTCGTAATAATAATTCTTTTCAAATCCGATTGAATTTGAATCGTGAACATCTGGTTCGTTTCTTAATGGTGGTCGTCCAGTTTTCTCTTTCTCTTCACGGTCTATCATCGAGCGTTCTATTTTTGAGGCGTTGTAAAATTTGTTCTGTTCGTTTCTTAGATATTTTACGTTGTAGATGTTGTCGGCTTGACTTTGCCACTCAAAAGCAGACTTAGTTTGGGGTACTTGAGTTGTTTGAATTGTCGCCTCAATGGGATCTTTTGTTTCAACGGACAAGAACGAATTCGTAAAGAGGTCTAGTGGACTTGAAATTGACCCTAAAAAGTTTTTATTAATTAAAATCGTATTAAAAAAAATTAATTATCTAGCGAAAAGAAAAAAAAATGTATAGGGGTGGTTTGCATAAAAGAACCTTTAGAAAACACAAAAAGATCCAAGGGCTGAACAACACGTGCAAGTTTAAACATCTGGTCTTATTCCATGAAAGAATTTGGGCGCGAATTTTTATTTTGTACCAAAAAAGATTTTTTAGATAAATAAAATAATCTTACCCTTTACAAAAACAATTAAAATCACGATGAAAAACATTTTTTTCACTTTTTGCTTCATTTTTTAAACGATAATTCTCTTCTTTTTTTGTCAGTTGTTGTTTGAAGTGGATGTGAACTCGCACGCTGCAAGAATTTATCTGGAGGCTGAGTTCTTCCGGTGAGGTTTATTCCTTATTTCTTCTGCGACGACTCGTCTGAGTGTGAAGTGGAGGGTCGTAAAGTTCGGTGTTTAAATGAATGGTAAGGACAAAGACGCGGAGGGGTGTCGGAGACACTTTAGTATTTGGATTGTTTTTGGGGAAAAAAGACGTCGGGCGCCGACTTATTTCCACATAATTCCTTTTTTGTAAGATTTTAAATGATTTAAACTCTCCTTTTTCAACAAATAAAGTTGATAAATAACAAATCAAAAATCCCAAGTAACTAAGAGATTCATTTAAGAAGGAATTAAATAGTGATTAAATTGTTTGTTTTTTTTACTTAAGATAAAAGCTAACCGGTTCATTTTTTTTGAGAGGAAGTGAAAACAATGGGATTTAAGGTGTTTGGAGACAGTCTGATTCAGGTACAATGGTAAAGTCTAGTCGAAAAATATATTTCCGGAGAAAATGAGAAAATTAAAAAAGGTTGGCGCCTAACTTATAAAAGAACCTATACCTAAATCATTCTAGAAAAAATAACTTAAGAACATTTTTAAGCTCTATTTGTCTATGTTCTATACAAAACTGTTTCCTGATTAGATTAGTTCCGGTTATCAATTTCCGGATTAAATTTCCTTCGATATCTTTACTTCTTATGAAACACAATATTTGAAGTTAAAAAAAATAAAAAATGGGTTTTATGTGATCATAACAAGATTTATTTCGTCGTAATATCTTAATCAGTTCTTGAGATACGATTTTTTAAAATTCTATTCTTAAATCTATCATAATCAAACGTATAGGATTTGATTTAAAAAATCATAACACCCATATTTCTGAAAAATAAGAAATTATTTATCGCACATTTAATCTACATTAAATTCGCTTTAAAATACATTTTATTTCAGCGTTATATCTTAATTAGTTCTTGAGATACGATATTTCAACAAAAGTTCACAATTTGGTTTAAAAAATCATAACAACGATATTTATGCAAAATAAGAAATTATTTATGGAACCTTTAATATACATTAAGTTTCCTTTAAAATGCTTTTTATTTCATCGTAATACCTCAATTTGTTCTTGAGATACGATCTCTTTAACTTCCATTCACAATTCTGCAACAATCAAATATGCACAATCGGGTTTAAACATTCATAATAACCACGCTTATGGATAATTAGGAATTATTTTTCTCTCATTTAATCTCCATTAAATTTGCTTTAAAGTGCACTTTATTTGATCGTTATATCTCAACTCGTTTTTAAGATACGATTTTTTAAATTTCTATTAACTAGTTTACAACAAAAATTCAGAATTTGGTTTAAAAAATCATAACATTGTCATTTATGTAGAATAAGAAATTATTTAGAGCACATTTAATCTACATTAAATTTGCTTTAAAATACTTTTTATTTCATCATTATATCTCAATTTGTTCTTGAGATACGATCTCTTAAACTTCCATTCACAATTTTGCAACAATTAAACATGCACAATCGGGTTTAAACTTTCATAACAACCACACTTATGGCTAATAAGGAATTATTTTTCTCTCATTCAATCTCCATTAAATTTGCTTTAATGTGCACTTTATTTGATGGTTATATCTCAACTCGTTCTTGAGATACGATTTTTTTAATTTCTATTAACTAGTTTACAACAAAAATTCAGAATTTGGTTTAAACAATCATAGCAACGATATTTATGCAAAATAAGAAATTATTTATGGCACATTTAATCTCCATTAAATTTGCTTTAAAGTGCACTTTATTTGATCGTTATATCTCAACTCGTTCGTGAGATATGATTTTTTTTAAATTTCTGTTTTCAGAACAAACTTTTTTAATTTTATTTCTAGGAATATTTCAGAAAATATTAACAAGGAACTTACGATACGGAAAAGAATGCTGTAACAAGAGGAAGTGGGTTTGTTTGCCGAGGAATTCTCGGTACTGACCCTTTCTTTGACCTTTTTTTTTGATATAACAAAAACAAACTAAACTTCAGTAACCATATGGGGTTGGAGATAAATTCGTTTGAATATCTTATCAATTTGGAATGGAAACATAATAAACACTTATAACAAAATTTAAACAGTATATTTTAAACATTTAAATCAAATGCATATACAAAGTATATAAAGAAAAAGTATTGTGATATAAAAATTTAGTAATTTAACCCAAAATATTATTTAGTTAGAGAAAATTAGATCAGTTTATTGTACTAGGTGTATTATAATTCAACTTTGCACATAGAAAGTAAAAGTGAGTATGTAATTAAAGTGCTTTAAATTGAAAGTAGCATAAATAAATCAACATTTTAATCAAGTAATTACTAAAAACAATTCCCTATTCGTTTAAAATTTATTTATTCACCGTAGTACATTTATTCGTATGTAATTTACACATCATTACGATTATTTATTGGAAATTTTCCATGATTCACTCTTTATTTTAAATATAGGCCAACTCCAAAGCAAATTTGGTTGCATAACTTCTAACTTTTTTCTGTTTTATGTTTAATTACGAATTAATATACATTTAATTATTAATTAATTTATTAAATTATATAGCATAAAAATGATTGATAATTTAAAGTGGATAAACATTTAAATATTGTGGTATTTTAAAATTTCTCCCACGTCATAGTGCAAAATAAGTAGCGCCACCTTTCGGTTTAATTCGTACCATTCGCCCGAAATACGTAGATTTACGGAGGCAGCGGAAGTGTTCGGAGTGGCGAGCATGCAACAGAAACCATCGAAATATGGCGTAAAAAGGGGACTTTAAGGAAACGTGTAAGGTTTTTTTCTTGTTTTTGGTAAATGCTAAAGGAATGTGTAAAGTGTGTGAAGAACGTTCGTTGCGCGGATGAGGACGCGGTGCGGTTCGTCATCAACATCAGGTCGTTTGGATGCGACACGCGAACAGCGCCAGCAGCAGTGCCGCTTTCAAGATGGTGGCTGTATTTTGAAGACCCCTTTGTGTCCCGTATGTCAGCATGAAACTTGGTGAGATCGCCGGAGACTGGAGGTTCGACAGGTGAGTTCCCAAAAACGAATTTTATGCGTGTTACAACACGTTTCGTTTTCCGACATTTTGGTCCGGGCGGCCCCCTTTTATTCGCAATTTCCCTCAATTACAACACTTTCGGTGGCCCCTTTTTAAACTCCTCAACGATTTGTAAGCTTGTAACCGAAAACGTTTCAAATTTCGTACTTTACGCATAGATTACTTTAAAATACGTTTTTATTAAAACGATTTTTTTTTCGATTACGGTTAAATTATTTGAATTTTTGTAGGTGGACGCCCTTAATTTCACTCGAAATTGTTACCATATGTTACTTAAAAAACTGTTTCAGCAATCAACAAATGTACTTTGGTGGATTTTTGGACCTGAAATAACTTGGCCTGTTTATCAAAAATACTTCGTCGCATAGGCATACGGATCTAGAAATAATTCGAAAGGCATCGCGCCTTATTTTTATTTTTTTCGAAACCTTGTTAAATGGAAACCGTAAATATTTTTGCGACAGCATTATTATTATTCTTTGACATTAAAATTGTTTTTTTTTATATTATTTAGGACTTCATACTTCTTTATTTTAGTTATTTATCGGTTTTGCGGTTCTGCTGTTATTCTCGTATCGTGTAATGTGAAATTATTGACTTTCTCTATTCCACTGGTCAATATTTTGTTAGTTAAACTTATCTATTCGTTAATAATTTTATATCTTGTCATGTTTATCCCTTGATAAAATACCTTAAGTAATGTTTGTTTTTTTTGTAGGAGTGTTAAAAACATGGATTGAAGGTGACTTCAAATAATATTTTAAGATTTTAGTGAGTTTTACAGCGTCAAATGAACTTAACTGAACTTTTTCCTTATTATTATTATGTATAAGACGATAATTCGTCAGTTTAATGCAATTTAGGTTGGTACCATATTGAAGTGTGAAATTAAACGCATATCAAATCATGTGTGAAATTCGCCCTTTAGTTGACAGTTGGTTTAAAAATCACACTGTTCGACGGGCTTCGTCCCTCAGACCCTAAGTTTGATGCTTATTCCTCCCACAATAACACAAAAATGTATATACACCCTGTATATATACAGTCCATGTACAAAATGTAGATAGTCAAACTAGTGATAACTTAAATAAAAATATCGAAAGCTCACTCATTCAACTATGCAACAAGAATCGGTATTCATTGTATAAGTATCTACCATAAAATATTAATTTTAAATATGAGCAAGTAAGTACAGGGTGGGGCAGAATGGAAGGGCGTTTTCGAAATGAGAATAACTCAGCTGTTGTTTAATTAACAAAAAGTTACAATACCACCAATGGCCACCGCCTTGTGTTTCGTGCAACGTTGTAAGATGTAATCATTCTATCAACTACATCAACACCACTCTGCATTATTATAGAATGTTATAACTTCTGGTTTTTATTTTCACCGAAATTTACCTTCCTATTATTATACAAAAGCAACCGAAGAAATGAGCGCTTGAGAGTGAGAGACTTTCCCTGAATACAAGAAACTCGGTATAGTTACAACGCAGGAGATGCCCCAGGAACACTTTACACATGATTAAAATCAATTATCTATAACGTTTTTGTCATTTATGATAAAAAGTTAGATGGAAAAAAAGTTACACGACACTGGGGTTGGGTCTAATAGGCCCAATAATTAAACGACAAAACATAAAGTTGACAAAGAAAAACTTGTATTTAGTAAAAATAAGAAGATACTATAAAAAGATGACTTGGGGTCTTCCACTGGAGGGTTAATCATAGGTTCAGAAATATTATAAACGATATGGGAACAAAAATTTCCGTGCTGAGAAAACCTATTTTATTTTACAAGTGACACGAGTACGCTTAATTTGGAGCAATAGTTTGCTTATATTTAAGCCCCATATATGGTGTTGGACCATTGTTGCGCCATATTGCAGATACTCCAACAGGAATTACCAGTTAGAACAACGCGTTTCATGGACATTTTCTCCACACACGTTTCATTATATCGATGTTGCTTAAGCCAAACGGCATAAACGACATTTACTTGATTTATCAGAAAACACAAATTTTTGCAATTTGTTTGCGGTTATGCCGCGTTAACTGTTAGATGCAGATTTTAAAAAACCATCAGTTTAGTTGAACGTTTTATGGATAGAATTAGCAACGGGTGTTAGAATAATAAACGAAGTGAGAATAAACCTACTTAATCGCAGATAATTTCATACATCTTGCAATTAATGATTGTGGCAAGTGGTGTAAGCATTTGGTAAGTAATAGTGGGGCATTCCTCAAATAATCAGCTATTCCTCACGACTCAGTGGGTTTACCCGAGCTTCGGATTATTCTTGGCCTCTTGTCTTTTTCTTCATCAACCTGTGATCGTTCACTTCTGAACATAAGTCTCTCATAGAAATATGTCGGAGTGAATGTGAAGCCACTGAGATAACCGTACGTCCGTAGTGATTCCCAAATACTTGGTTTTGTGGCGTCAAGGGATGATTTCGTCGAAGATCAGTCGGATAGAGTTGTTGCAGAGTTCTTTTCTTCGCCCAGTTCTCGAGAAAAGCAATGGATTCTCCAGGTTCGATACTTATATTATTATCTCTCTCTCTCCCGTAGAGACATTTTTGTTTCTGTTGGTTATTATAAAATCTATCATGGATTTTTTTCCCTGGTATTTTTGAATGTGTTATGTATTTATGTTATGGTTCGTGGGAATATAAGGTATTTTTGATACACATGCCGAAGAGTGAGATCACAGAATAACAAGTTGTGGTGCTATGGCACTAGTGCCATAGATTAGCCATCCTATTGCCATTATTTTGGGGGAAGCTTACAAGAACAACATATTTTGCAATTATCATATCCAACTTAATCATTTCTGCAACCTATTTTGTACAATCCAATCGGTACAAAATGTATATAAGTTTACTTGACATGAGGATAAGCGTTTTTTTTTAACTCGCCTCTCACTTCAAAGCCTTCGTTTAAGCCTTTTGAAGTTGTCGACATTCTTAAATAACACACGAATTTTTAAGAAGATAATTATTATCATCAAGCAACCCCCAAAAATGATTGAACTCGTAATATTCAAGTCATGTTACAAACATACCGGTTTATGTCCATATCGGATTCTCGTTTCATTTTAATGAATTTACACTAACAAGGGCTGGAAATAATCCTCTTAGTCATTACCCCTTATAACTCTTTGACCCAAATGCGTCAGATCAATCTCATTAAAAATAAATAATAGTCTATATTTACTTTTCTCGTCTGTTTTTTTAATGTCATATAAGCGACTATATAATTTACAGTGTGATATGAATCATATCTTCAACTGTTGAAATTAAGTTATGACGAAAAATGTGAATCTTTCAAAATCACCTAAACGGAAGTTTGCCTTATCGTGGCAGATTGTAAGTACAAACACTAAATATTAGTGTAAATGGTACTTTTCACCGTAAAAATTTGTACTAGATATGGTGAACAAGTTTATGACTTCTTAAGGAAGTAAGGTAGAATTTGAAAAGAAATTCGTTATCGCATATTGGGCTGTTCTTTTGCCGCTCATAAGTAGCGTATTAGCTAATAAAGCTTTCTCAACCTACACTTATATAAAAAGTAAGTACAGCAACGGACTTTCCAGCGTAAGTTGGGACCTAAGTTAGTTATTGTCATCTTTTGATTCAAATTTAAAGTATTGAGTGCTGCCAAACAGCCTCATGGTTCCCATTAATTTAATTAGTATTAGTGTTTTCGGAACTTTCATTCCTTTATATTATATTGTGGGTGTTTATTCATTGTGCCAATTATGTGAAAAGTGTATTGAAAAGAAGCATCATTTGAAAGTAGAAATCGTTTAAGCTAGACGTTACAAATTGGAGTTTGTGAGGCTTACGAGGTCTTTCAGGACTTTTGCCTTCTTGTAAATCGTTTCAAATTTATTGTACCAATCGTAGATTATCTCCCTTTGTAGTTTGCCAAAACTTGTTCGATAATGTCGTTAGACAACAGTAGCGGGGTTTGTTTTGGCAAATTCGACTTAGTATGGTTTGTGGCGATTTTCATTATTATTCTTGTTGGTGTATTATTACCAACTGTTTTATATCGATTTGTATAACAAACAAGGTGTTGCTAAGAGCTAATCTTTGTTTTTTATTTGTTTTATAATAATATCCAATTGAATACAGTTACTTAACGTATTTTCGTGCCAAGAGCTAATTTCAACGAATAATTATCACTCAAATTATTTATAGTTAACGAGTCTCTTGAAAATAATAATAATAATAATCAAGAAAATTAACCGAATCCGATCAAATTATAGTAAGAAGAACTTAACTTGGCTCGTTAATTAGTAAATAACGGTATTTCGTTGATAATAATCAACATTCAACGTTAATTTATTTAAGAGCAAGGATTTTTCGCGCCTTGTGACATATTTAGACTTAAACATTCTGTATAAATAATAAAAAAAGTTATTAAATAAAAACTTAACATGACATCAAAATATCCGTAATCATACCGATGTAAAGTTTGTTATTATGACTTTGTTGTGTAACTTTAAAGTGATTGATGACTCTTAAGATTTTATCATGTTCAATAAACCATTCGTGTTATTATTCTTAATAAAAAGGTCTACAATCGAATTCGTTGGCGCGTTTATAATTGGATTATATAAATGTGGTGTTTTGGAAAAAAGGCGTTGTTGTTATGTTAAAATTCGTCATCAAGGAACTTTCTAATCGATCGGATTTGGGATGGTCGAAATAAAGTTCGTAAACAAAATACGAGGACGAGCGCCGCGGCGTGCGTACGTGATGGGCGTCGTAATCAGTATTATATTTTTTTTTGGGAGACCCGTTTAGAATATTACCTTAGTTATTATTTTTAACCAGTCAATTTCTCGGTATCTTATCTTCCTTTTCGTTTGTCGGTACACTTAAACCAACCGACACGGTTTATTTTTATTTCATTATTATTTTTTTGTCGTTACAAATAGAAACTTTTTCGCTGAGTTGTTTTTTTCTCTCCTTTATTACTTTATTGTTCACGCGTTTCCCATATAAGAAACTACCCAGCAAGAATGGAATTATTAGCGGTCTGGTGTTGACGTCACTTGCGTTGCCACGTTGAAGAAAACAACGCGTCGCCCTCTTTCTATTAATAAAATCGTCGAACAGGCGTCGTTCGTGATTGCAAATTTCTAATCATCACGCCTGTTGGTTTATTTATCATCGAAACGGATAGAGATAAAATCCTTGACTTGGATTTGTGTCGGTCGCCGCGAAAATCGCAAGACACAGTCAAGGATCCGTTCCATTTTTTGTTGTTTTTTTTGTGTGTTGTTTTTTGCTAGATTTCATTTGGTAGTCATTCTCGCGTTACGTTATCGACTGTAATGGTAACAAAGAGTTTGAGTTGACGCGCGTTACTCTGCCGTATTTTGCAACACTTGTTGAGACCTTGTAATAGATACGACCGTGTTGCTAGAATACTGAAGCAAAAGTGGAACGGAGAGCTTTCCATCGCCGGCGGTCGTTGTTAATAATGTAATTGTTTGCTTTCTTGTATCCACAAATATTGAGGATCAAAAATGTTTTAAAAATAAATTAAAATAGAATTATTATCTTTTACTTACCTCACGTGTTTTGTGCAGAATAAATAATATTCGTAGCGGTTTCGTTGCAGGAAACGCCACGTGACATGTTCATCACGTCCCAGCAGCTGGCGACAAGTAGCGGGAACGTATCAAAGCGCAGAAGACAAGAACAGTACGTTAGCGGTCACGAGGGTACAGGCGACGCGCACCATCATCATCAACAACAACACCACCAACAGCAGCAACAACACGGCCACGGCATTCATAATCACGGCGGTAGCGTGATCCACGTTGGTGGCTCCGGCGCCTCAGACCAATTTTTGGCGACGCAGCATCAGCAACAGTTACATCATCATCAGCAACAACCGCAACATCAACCAAATCCTCTTCAAACGAGCGTTGCGGTCTCGTCTGTGCATACTTCCAGCCAGACGGACACGAACGGACATGCTGTTGGTAGCCCTGCTAACAATTCAAAAACGTTTGTCAGGGCATCCACTATAAAGTTGCTTGATAATTATCAGCGAAGCGGCCAAAAGGTAAATAAAACGATTTAACAAAAAGATAAATTGTTATGGTACGTTCAGACTTCTTTATCTTGATATATAATGTATTTTTCTTTTGATGTATTCATATTAATGGGAGGTTTAACAACTTTTCGCTCATTTCAGAATTATTTGTCTTGTAATGATTTATGTACTTGAAACCCGGAATAGAATTAAGAGTGAATTCCAGTAAATGCTTTATATTATTCCAAGAATATCAGAGATGCTAATAGATTTTCCAGGATACTTTGGGGCAGCTTAAATTGATATCTTGTTAGATTATTGAAATTTGTGTCAAAATTTAGTTCGAAATCTTTCTTGTGTCTCTCTCCACCTCATCGTCCCATCTTTTCCCCCGCTACTCTTTCTCCAACTTTGTTTTTCCGGTAGCTACGCTTAGTCGTATCCGCTTCCTTGTGCCTAATCACATGTCTTGCTTATCTCAGTCTTATAATTTTTATCCTTTTCATTACTTTCTTCTCTATACTCTTGAAGGCTTCATTCACTGCAACAATTTCTGCATGTTATGTCAATATCATAACTTATCCCAGAATTTGGACTGATTCAATATTATTGTCCAAGTTTCTACTTCCACCATACTAATTACTTTCTCTAGCGATTTTAACCAGTTGACACGAGAACACTTCTCCTTGTCGCAGTCCATGGTCTTGTATCTTTAGCGGACTCCTTCCATCTCTTATTGTCACCACTATCAATTTTATCACCTTTTTGTGATTACCAAAACTAATCATAGCTTTTATTGGTTTGCGTGTATCTATGTTATCATTATGCAGCCCTGAGGTCTATGGATAAGTGATTGGTATCAATTTTGTATTCTCCTTCTTTTTCTAATTTATCTTAGAGCGAATATTTAGTCCGCTGTTGGTCGTCCAGCTTAGTGGTTTCTTAATATCGTCTCACTGAATTGAAGCTTCTTTCTCCCAGTACCGTATTGGCTCTGTAATTTCTGCATTCTAGTTGACTCCCCTTTTTGTGTAACGGGTGTATTTAAGTATATATACATAACGTTTTAATTTTCATCTTGAAAATGTGGTTTATGGTTTATATCGAGTGTGGTTCTATAAAAACATTTTAGCACATTTGCTAGATACGATCTAAGATAAAAGAGGAGTGCTATGTTTTCATATATGTTACAGAGAGTTTTTGCTCAAAAAGTCGTTGTAACAATAAGTATGTGATATTTCACCCTATATGTATTAGTATTAAAAGGGTTGATATATAATTCTTCACTTTTGCATTATTATTATTTTGTTTATATACCTTAGCGATTAATATTGTGCGCTCAATTCATACATATCAATACTTTTGGTTATTTTTCCTTCAATATATACTCAAGTAGGATCTAATTAATTACTATTACACTCAATGTTACTATCAATCTTGTACAAATAACTTGAAATAGAAATTGAACAGCGTATCGTAATGCCTCGGCTAGATATACGGGAAATACATGATTTCGTGTGAATTGATTGAGAACGTTTGCGGCTGTAACATCGAAATAAGTAAGTTATTATTTGAAAAATTAAGGTACGATTAATTTAAATTATTGCATAATTTTGCTTATGTTAGCCTTGGTCGTTTGCGGCCGATGCGCTACAATTAATACCAACCCAAACTCGTTAACACATTCCACTGCCTCGTCTAAACATGTTTAATATCCTGCATTCAACTACATTGATTAAATGCGTTATATTAATAATAATAATTACTCGTCGAGTAGGACTTATCAGATTATAACACAACATAACTAGTTCCGTTTTATCCCTAAAATAATGTTATGTATTATATTGTAAGATTTCGCAACACGTGTCCCGAGTAAAACCGAAGTTGACTCGATACTTTTCGAGCTTAGCATGAAGTGTGCACAATTTTATGCGATTTGTGGTTCAATCGCAAATTATTAGTGCGCAATCTCGCGCGTTCTATCGTGATTCGCTCTTTAAATGATCATTCAAGCATTCACTCGCTACTGTTTATGTCATGCAAACAGCAACTTCAGGTTGTTGATGACGTAGATGTTGATTCGCCGAATTAAGAATTAAGAACCACAACACTTACTTCGAGTTAACTCATTATTTTGTTAGTTTATTTTAATTATACGGAGTCATTTGCAAAAAGTGAGTACTGAGATGGTTGGGTTTGATCTGAACGTATCGTTGTTGTGTGTATTTATTGTTTTTTTGAAACATATTTTGTTATCTTGTGGAGCAGCGCAAGGCTTGGTCGCAGGAAGGTAATGGTGAAGGCGGGGAGGCGATCTCGCAGACAGATACCAACACCGCAACCACCACGACGGCTCACAGCAAGGTTGGGGTGGCCCCCGGGCCCAGCACCCAGGCCCAAGGTAAGCAAAAAATTAAACTTTAAATATTACTAAAAAATTTCGTTATTTATACAATTATATCTAGAGTGACTTTAATTTTTTATAAACGATCCTTATCTCAAGACTACTGTGAGCTATCATATCACAACTAAACTGGAATATTTATGTATTTTTAAATAAATATTGGGTATTTACGATATTCGCCTTAGCAACGTTAATCATTTATACCACTTCTAAATTTGAAATAGTCGGAATTTATATCTTGGAAATGTATTCGTTTTTTTGTTTCCAATATACAATTAATTGGAATTTCCGTTAATAACGGTGGAATTTAAATTCCGAATGTTTCGGGTGAACAAGATAACATTATCAACAAGAAATAAAAGGCGAAAATTTTATCGTAATTTTTATTAATCAGTTGTGAATATATTTTTTTGTCGATAAGAATTGAATTCTTGAGCGTGTAAACAAAATTGGCGGTCTTCATCTCCGTAAAAAGCGTTTCGCAAGGAACTCCCAAAAAATTCCTGCGTCGTAGTTGTATAATGTTTTTGGCTGTGGCGGTGTCTTGGCGGATGGCCAAAATCCCGACCACGGCGGTATCAAGTGGACCTTAGTACGTGTACGATCGCCTTCGATGCACCACATATTATACAAAGATCATTTTCACGCCAGGGCCCGATTAGCGTCACCAACCTTCCGTTTTATCTTCCAATGTGTTTGAATCGTGGGGGACCGCTATATTAACAGATAATAATGCCTGTCATTATCTGGAATTACTGTTAAATGCTATACCCGTACGTGTCTGTGGACGGTGCGTAATAAGTAACTGTACACGGATAACTGAAGCGGGCGTTATGAATAGGTTTATTGGAACTGTATCATTGAAATTAAAACGGTTAAATTTCGATGTGATAAAACAATATTATTTATTGATTTTTATAAATTAAAAAAAAACGATTTAATTAAAACTATATCAATCCAAACATTACAAATATTACATGTACTACAAATGGTATTTTTTATTATTTACGTAAGATTGTTTTTTTCATACGTCGATTATTTCATTTTTGTTCAACGAATCCATTTGGAATAATTTCCAATTTATGTTTGATGTGAAATAATTGACGTTATGGATATGACATTATTTGAATTGATTTTAAAAGCAGCAGTTTTTGACAATAACGTAACTCGTAACAAATCATCAATTTTGATATAACTTTATTAAATTGCGTTGCATTATTGATTAAAAACTAAAAGGCTAGTTATTAACTTATCAATATCAAGAGTTAATTGAATTAATACCTATGAACATGTGGTGTAATGTGATGTACGGAATAATATAGAATGGGCGGATGCTGAGAATGAAGGGGTGTTTGATGAAGCAGGCTCTGGAAGCGGCGCGGATGGCGACTATCAGCTCGTTCAGCACGAGGTGCTCTTCTCGCTGACGACGCAGTACGAGGTGCTCGAGTTCCTCGGCAGGGGCACCTTCGGCCAGGTGGTCAAGTGCTGGAAGAAGGGCACTAATGAAATCGTCGCAATCAAAATATTAAAGAATCATCCGTCGTATGCCCGACAGGTAAAAATCATTAATATTTGTTTTTTTTTTATAATAATTTTTAATCCAATTTAATATTTAAAGGGTCAAATAGAAGTAAGCATCCTATCGAGACTGAGCCAAGAAAATGCCGACGAATTTAACTTTGTCCGTGCTTTTGAATGCTTCCAACACAAGAACCACACGTGTCTTGTGTTCGAGATGTTGGAGCAAAATCTCTATGACTTCCTCAAACAAAACAAATTCAGTCCCCTTTCCCTTAAATACATTAGACCCATTTTACAACAGGTCTTGACAGCGTTGCTAAAACTAAAGGTAATAAATACTTTACTAAAAGTAATAAAGTAACAAATTAATTTATTTATATTTTTTAGCAACTTGGTCTTATACACGCGGATTTAAAACCAGAAAACATCATGTTGGTCGATCCAAGTCGTCAACCATACCGCGTTAAAGTTATTGATTTCGGCAGCGCCAGCCATGTCAGTAAAGCCGTGTGCAATACATACTTGCAAAGTCGTTATTATCGCGCACCGGAAATTATTCTCGGGTTGCCGTTTTGCGAGGCTATCGACATGTGGTCGCTTGGTTGCGTCGTTGCCGAATTATTCCTTGGTTGGCCGCTTTATCCAGGATCGTCGGAATTCGATCAAATTCGTTACATTAGCCAGACGCAGGGCCTTCCGACCGAGCACATGCTGAATAACGCGTCGAAGACAACCAAATTCTTCTATCGCGATATGGACAGCACGTACCCTTTTTGGAGGCTCAAGACGCCTGAAGAACACGAAGCTGAAACGGGAATTAAATCGAAGGAAGCTCGCAAATATATCTTTAATTGTCTTGATGATATTGGACAAGTTAATGTACCCACTGATTTGGAAGGAGGTCAATTATTGGCTGAGAAAGTTGATCGAAAGGAATTTATCGATTTGTTGAAGAGAATGTTAACGATGGATCAAGAGAGAAGGACAACTCCAGGTGAAGCTTTAAATCATCCATTTGTGAGGTTAGCGCATTTAGTGGATTACGCGCATTGTAATAACGTAAAAGCCAGCGTTCAAATGATGGAGGTTTGTAGAAGAAATGATTATAGTACAGCAGCTACAGCCACACATCATCAACCCGCTCAACAAACTCAATCTCTCGTTGCTAATTTCGTACCCAGCTCGAACGGAAATGTCACATTTACTATTAATAATCATCAAGTGCAGAGACTTGTACGCGATCGTAGTGGATATGATAACTTGGTATGCTTATTTTTTAAATTGAAGTTTGGGAAATTAATTATATTTTATTGCAGTACCAAATTTATGGAAGAAATGTTGGACGACAATATGCAACAAGCAGCAGGGCTGATCCTTTCCAACATCAATTAGTTTCGAGTATTTTATGTCCTGCTAGTTATCCAGGAATGGGCGGATCTCCAGCGAAACACGTCACGGTCGTTCAGCAACCCCAACTTCAAATACAACCCCCAATACTAAGCCAACCTGCCCAACAGCAATATGTACCAGTTAGCGTCGTTGAACCAACAGGAAGACAAATGCTTCTAACTGTAAGATATTAATTATTTATTAATCAATAAATCGCAATTTTTTATTTCAATTTTAGAACGCTGTACAAACATCATGGCCTGCAAACCGCCAAATGGCAATAGTCCCATCATGGCAACAAATCCCAGCTCAACATGCAGCCATACAACAACCACTTTTATCTGACACTGCTGATTGGGGAAGACCGCTTTTAGTTGATTCATCAGCTATTTTACAAGATCAACGACCAGTATTTCCGGTGGATGTGGCGGCCGAAGTTTATAATCCGGCAATTGTAGAGCATACGGGTGCTACATGGGCGAGTAGCAAACGTACCTCGAAGAATCACCACATGCAACAGGCATCAGCGCCGCACCACGGTCATCATTTAATGGTACCAACTCATCACCGCGTCCAACACGACAAAAAGGAACAGACACAACTTAGCCCGGTGAAGAAGCGTGTTAAGGAAAGTACGCCGCCCTCAGAATTGCTCAATGGGTACTCAAACGTTCGAAGGAATTACAGTCCTGGTCATCAAGGGCATTGGCAACAACATAATCAACATCCGCAACCCAAACAATCCAGCAATCATCCTCATCCAAATAAATTCGTGGCCGCCGCAATAACCATTAACGACACTCCTTCACCGGCCGTTTCCGTGATCACCATTTCTGACAGTGAGGACGAGACTTCTGTGCCGAAAAAGTCGGTAGTTTCATCCACACACCATAATAGTGGTCATAGAAACCAGGCTAATGGTAACAATAACAATACAACTCATCAGGCGCAACCGGGAACTAGTGGTGCTCACAGAAAGAACGTCATCAGTTGCGTGAGTGTTGGTGATAGTGATAACGAAGATCATAAAAGTCCGACGAAAATGCAGGAGCAAATTCAAGCGTATCAACAGCAAGTTATTAAAAATGAACCGTCCCAACATCATCAACCAGCTCCGCCAACAAATTACGGTGCGCAATCGAGAAAAACACGTCTTCTAGCCAAAGCACAATCAGAATGCATGTTGGGTAACGTTCAAACGAAACAAGAACCGGGAGTTGAATACCATCAGCATCATCGCCAAAATGAATACATGGTCCAACAGCAACAACAACCCGCACCACAACAAATACAACAACAACATTGCAACGCAGTCTGCAAGGAGCAGGTACAAAATTATCAATACGCGAATCCTTCATCGGGACATTTAAATAATCAAGAACAAATCGTGTATCCAACGGGAAATGATAAAAGGGTTTCTTGGGCACCTCCGGCTGCTCACGCTCCAAGTTCATCGCACGGAAATAGCAGGAGACATTCGGCGATGCCCGTGGTTAATTTAAGAGATTATAACGTGACGTCGAATAAAGAGTATGCCATTCAACCGCCAGCCGCGCATTCTACGCGGGATAGTTTATCAATGGGTACTAGGGAACAACATTTATTGGCGCCAACGAAAAATTGGGGGCCGCCACAAGCTATGCATCATCAATCTTATAGGTAATTAAAGAAAATTTTTTTTTGGTATCGTAAATTTTGAGTCCAAAAATTAACCTAATAGAATGAATGTGTAACAAAAAATTTTTTTTTACTATATACCTTTACTTATTGGATTATCGGTAGTTATGGTTAAGGGTAAGAAATTGTAGGTAGTTAAGCGCGGAATAAGTTCATGTTAAAGTGTGTTTTGTTGTAAATGATATATTTAAAATAGTTAGTTTTTTTTGGGTAATGCATGGGTTATTACGGTTGGTTTTGTAGACACAGCAGCACGCACCTGTCGCCTCAGCCGCTGACCGGTGCGCCGAGGCTGTCCCCTCAGCATCCTTTAGCGGCCGCCGGGCAGCCGCTGTACCACCAGACCGAGTTGTATAGAAGACCGGCCGTTTATGTGACCACTACGCAACCGGCTTATATACCAACAACTCATCAGGTGGCTCCAGCTGGGTAAGTTTATTCAAAAAAATAAGATTTGTAAAGTTTTTGTATTCTTAAAATTGTAGTTTAGAAATGGCTTAGAACTCTATTTTTGATTTATGACTTAACACTTACAATGATTAACAATATCAATAATGTTTCAACCAGAAATGCAATTCTAAGACGTTACCTTTATGTTCTTTTGCAAACAAATTGTTGCAGATTCAACAATATTTTATTCAAGTGAATATTTTATAACACAAATGGCTTGACGGGCTATTTTCGTCTCTTTAGATTTTTGGGTAACTTCCAAAGCGATTAAGATCAGGTTGTTTCGCATCCCTCTTTTTATTTCGGGATTATCCTGATCTAGATTTATCCTAATGTTTAAACAATCAACTAATGCTCGTTTTTGTAACTTCTACTGTTTTGCCTATTAACTCCCCTTAAGAAGAAGAAAGGAACCAGCACCGACGGCGATGTGTGTTCGTCGTGTTCTGATTCTATAGTACTTACTAAATCCGCATAGAGTTTATTTCAATTATAAAAATTACAACTAAAAAACTGAAGAATTAGTTGTTTTTTTTTCATGTTGTTGATGGTAATACTGAGGAATCTGAGTATCTTACAAAGAAACTTTTACAACTAAACTTGCAGCAAATTTTATGCTCAATAATATTGCTCTCTTACACTTTTAATCTCAGGCGCATAGATATCGAGAAAAATACGAAAATATGAAAATTTGACGAATTAGTTGCAGTTCTTTTCTGATGATACAATAAAAGATCGGTCAGCGAGGAAATAAAGAAGATGACAATCCAAGCCAACAAAACTTCCATGGGCTTAAAAACAACTTCACATCTATGCTAAGAAAAGTCTTATACCATTAATTAGTCTTATACAAGACTTTAATACGACCTATACTAGCTATGGGTCGGAAACACAAGGTTTATATATTAAAGGTTGTCTAAGTTCCTATGCTGCAATACTTTGATTTTAGTTTGTGGGCGAGGGGCAAGAGACTCATGTGACGTAATGCGCAGTATGGTTGCGTACGAACCTAGACAACCTTTAATATATAAACCTTGTCGGAAACATGGACCTAAGCGCAGAATGACCTAGAGTTGTATATTTTATATTGCGAACCATGTAGCCAAAATGGACATTAAAAGTACCACAAAAATTATCTTTGATCGCCGTGGAACCGTAGAAAATCATAAATCGATTGGAAGGTCGTAGATATGATTTGTGGACGATGTGGAGCACGACGGAAGAAATAAACGATGCTTGACGAAAATAATCGACTTTGAAAAATATAACCTATAAAACAGGGTTCAACAAAAGAGAAATGAAAATAAATATGTTCTTTATATAAAAACTGATAAACCAGGCTACTAAAAACTAAGACAAACAAAAACAATATACAGGTGTCTCACGTAACTGGTTCGTTAGTACTTTTTTAGGTTTCACTTATTCGTACAGTTTTGAAATTTTGGTAGGATGGGCTGTTCATTCGAAACTTTCGATCTAAAATATTTTCAAGATGGCTGCCACTTCCGGTCTACCGGAAGTAGACTTCGTTATTTTAAATGGAATGCTACAGTTTTTACTACACCTTTTAATTGTACGGAAAATAATATGTAGACTTTCATAAAAGTTATTGGTACCTAACGTTTTTCGTTTTCGAGTTATTTTGATTTTAAGTTTTTTTGGCAAATTTCACTATGCTCTTTAAAACCCCATATCCCAGCCAATGTTCATTCAAAAAAGCTCTAAATTGGCACGATTACTCTTCAGATGCTGTCAAATAGATTGTCATTTATTGTATCAAAGTATATTATACAGAGTGGTCAAAAGTTGAATTACTGTTTCTCCATATTCAACCGCTAGAAAGTCGAAAATTTTAAATGCTTTATTGATGTTTAAAGTTCTTCGCGGCATTTTCTTCCTGAAAAGGCCCGTTTTGTCTACATTGAATATAGTCTGTGAACTGTAGCCGCCTTCTTGTATTATATTCGCTAATTTGCCAGGAAAAGTAGATGCAGCGACTTTATCTGCACTTGTTGTTTCTCCACTGTGTGCAATATTGTGCCAGACGCATCTTTTTTTAAAACGACAAAACCCTCCATTGCTGACTAAAAAGGCTTCATTTTTTGCTTCGTCACCAACTTGTGTCTTTAGTTCTTCGAAAATCTGTTTGGATTGATTGCATATACAGGGTGTATTTGAATGACGTGTCCAAACTTCAGGGGGTGATTCTTTAGGCAATTTTAAGGGTACTTTGATATATGAACCATGAGCGACTTCGGCTCCCCTAAGGAGCTACAACCCTCCAAAAATGGCGGAAAATTATCGTTAAATTTGCTTTTCTCAAAAACCATAAACGCTAGGAAAATGAAATTTGGGGAATATGTTTAACTCATAATAGGGCACGTTTGGACCCTATTTGTACTTTCAACCTACCCTTCTAAACTACTAAACGTAACCACCTCCTGAAGTTTGGGCACGTCATTCAGATACGGTGTATCTGTATATAGTATTTTGGTCAACTGGACAATTCTTGACTTTTACTTGGTTTTCGCACCATACATTAAGTAAAGATTCCATTTCCGCTATCAAACCATGCCATTTACGAATTATATTAGAAGTTAATGGCTAAGCATTTTTAACTGCCTCGAGAATTTTACATTTGTCTTTTATTATTGTATACTCAATAGTATAGGATAAATTGTATTTGTTGCTAATTCACATGTTTTCAGGCTTTGTTCGAAATTTTTCCAAATCTTATGCTTTATTTCTAATGTCAAGGTTTTGCGTTTTTTTGGAGAATTCGAAGAAACGAATTCTTTCCTTTTCTTTGACATAATAACTAATATGAAAGAAAATAAGTTAATTTTTCAACTAATATTTACGTATGCAGTATGTATAACATAATAAAATACTTACGTTATTCTAAAACACTTAAAATCACGTTTTATAATAGGATAAACTGAAGGAGCTAGAAAATTTTATGACTCAATCCGCTATTGAGCGAAACAGGGGAATACCCGACAAAAATATAACAGACAAATTCGTAGTTACGTACATATGTCGGGTTTACGTAAGTCGGGGTATTACTGTAATCCTCTGTTGATTGTTTTGGATCAATATTAGATACTTTTCGGTATATATTGTAGGATCAATTTCCTTTTTATTTTGTTCACATAGTTCTGACAGTTTTCCTCATTGACTTACATGTATTTGCGTACAATCCTCCATACTGTTCTACATCACATCGTTTAACACTTTTCGATTAGTATATACAAGCCATATACAGTGTGTTAATTATACGTAAATCACGTATTGCAATACCAATACTGTGATATTGGTTGCATACTTACAATGATGACGTCGGGTACGATAATTAATTAGCACACTGTACTAACATCTAGTCAGGTGATTCTTTCTAAAATATTTCACAATTTGAATCACATGCTCTTGGACTTTAGTTACTTCAAGGTCTATGCAAAACAAATTTAGAAATGGATCTGAGCATCTATAAGTTATTAATTATTTCTCATTACTATGACGTTTATAGACGTACATTTAGGGTCAAATACAGGAACGATATTATTCTTTGCATATACATTTTTATATTTTGCGTTTTGGATTTTAGTTTTTGCTATCCTTCCAGACAGACTAATCTACTTGATTCTAGACTAATCTACTTGATGTAATATTTGGACGTTTTGGTGATATCTTTTCTTTAACCATAGCCTTTGGATAAATCAATTGTAAACGCGATTGCGTAAAAAGTACCCCGTTTATTAGTTTTTAAGCGCTTCTTATAACTGCAAATAATAACAACGTTCCAAATATACATGAAGGCAATAAAACAAAGTCTTAGGAAGGTACAAAGAATCCCAACATCGTAATAACACTCGATAGATTGCCTTTAAAGGGTTAAGTAGTTAAATTTGATTCAAATTTATATTTCCCCGTGTCGGCCCTAAATCTAAGTATATATATATACTTAGATTTAGGGCAAGTCTCACATTTAATGAATACCTCTTGTATCTCTCGTTGCGTTCTTCCAATGTAGTGATTAGAGAAAAATGAGAAATTATTACAATACATTATTTTAATATTATTTTTAATCATCCCCGATATTAATTGATATAATTCTTTTTGGTTTTTTTTTAGTAGGCCCTTACCTCCTCCTCCAGCGCATCACGCAAGTGCAAGACCAGTTCTTGCGAGTCATCCAAGTCACCCATTGCCTGCGCACCTCCAATTTCCGTCGCACGCGCAAGTGGCTTCCTACGGGTTCGCTCCATTGAGTCCCGCAAAAAATCACCAGTATCAAAGCTTGTGGTTTGCTGAGTGAAGTGAGTAAAGACAAGAATAAAGAAGATAAGAAATTAAAAAGGAATCGAAACGAATATGGGGTTCATTAAGTTTTCAACTATATAGCTTACTCTAGTTATTTTTTTTTCTTTTAAGTATTATTTGGTTTATTAAGAATGTTTAGTCGATTTTTCTTAATCGTTTTGGTAATTTAAATGTTAGCGAATTTAATGGGTTCGCTTTCACAGTTCGGAATGCAAACAATGCATATTAATATTATAATTAATTAATTATCGTTGTAAGAATGTTCTTTTTTGTTTTTCTTTTAAATCAGCTTTTTTATGATTTATTTTATGATGACAGATGTCCTTTGGACAGCACCTTTATGTTATAGCTAGAAAAGGCTTAAACATGTATATGTAATCTCCTCAATTAGTGATTTTTCTTTTAATTAATATTGTTCGCAGAGTGATTAGGTTATTTAAAAATAAAAACTATAANTTGTGGATGCATTTGTTTTTCGACAATCACATGTGGGTTTTCAGAACCCCAAAAGCGGCAGTTTTGGCGATTAACAAACCCATCAAGGTGAAAATGTGCTTCGTCGCTTAGGATGATTTTGCTCGAAAAATCAGCATTCATTTGTTGATGCTCAATAATCCATTCAACAAACTCTCTACGCTGTGCATGGTCATTGGGCTTCAGTTGTTGTGTTAATTGAATTTTGTAAGCATGTAGGCACAGATCTTTAGTGAGTATACGCTGTAGAGAGCTTCTTGAAATTTGCAATTCTTGTCCACTACGCCGAATTGAGGTTCCTGGATTGTCGCCGACACTCGCACGCACTGCTTCGATATTGACATTTGAACGGCTTGTTTTTGGACGACCAGTGTGTTTGGTGTCTCCAACGGATCCTGTCTCCCGAAATTTTTCAATTAATCTCTTCACAGTTGACGAAGTTAAAACAGTATTCCGACCATATTTTGTACGAAATTTTCGAACTGCGGCCGCCAAGCAGTCATTATTTTTGAAATATTGTTCAATAATGAAGAAACGTTGTTCTATTGCGTAGCGCTCCATTTCTACTAACCCTAAACTGTCAACTGTCGATTTATTTTTTTTTTGGGTTGTCAACACTTTACTGCATGAATAGCGGCAAATTGAAACCTTGCGTTAATTTTGGGACACTCTTTACTTAGATTTAGGGCAAGTCCCACATTTAATGAATACTTCTTGTATCTCTCGTCGCGTTTTTCCAATGTAGTGATTAGAGGAGAATGAGAAATTATTACAATACCTTATTTTAATATTATTTTTAATCATCCCCGATATTAATTGATATAATTCTTTTTGGTTTTTTTTTAGTAGGCCCTTACCTCCTCCTCCAGCGCATCACGCAAGTGCAAGACCAGTTCTTGCGAGTCATCCAAGTCACCCATTGCCTGCGCACCTCCAATTTCCGTCGCACGCGCAAGTGGCTTCCTACGGGTTCGCTCCATTGAGTCCCGCAAAAAATCACCAGTATCAAAGCTTGTGGTTTGCTGAGTGAAGTGAGTAAAGACAAGAATAAAGAAGATAAGAAAAAGAAATTAAAAAGGAATCGAAACGAATATGGGGTTCATTAAGTTTTCAACTATATAGCTTACTCTAGTTATTTTTTTTTCTTTTAAGTATTATTTGGTTTATTAAGAATGTTTAGTCGATTTTTCTTAATCGTTTTGGTAATTTAAATGTTAGCGAATTTAATGGGTTCGCTTTCACAGTTCGGAATGCAAACAATGCATATTAATATTATAATTAATTAATTATCGTTGTAAGAATGTTCTTTTTTGTTTTTCTTTTAAATCAGCTTTTTTATGATTTATTTTATGATGACAGATGTCCTTTGGACAGCACCTTTATGTTATAGCTAGAAAAGGCTTAAACATGTATATGTAATCTCCTCAATTAGTGATTTTTCTTTTAATTAATATTGTTCGCAGAGTGATTAGGTTATTTAAAAATAAAAACTATAATGGACAAAAATATATAAAAATATAAATACACGGGTAAAGAACGATATGTTAAATGGGTTATATTTCGTGTATAATAAAATAGTATTAATCGTTTAAAAAAAATTAAAATTTTTGTCTAACTCTTTAATCAACACAAAAAAAAATTTTAAAAATACATGCTCATATAACTGCCTAGTTCGTGGTAACTTGTATAGGTAATTAATTAAAAAAAATACGCATTTTAGTCATTTAGTGATAAATACAATACTATTTCCTTTTATCTTTATTTTTTAATCCGATTTTTTTGAGTTACTCTTTAATAATTTAATACTAACAATTTTTGGCATTGGCTGTTTATTAATTAATTATTTACAAAACGTGTATATGTAATAGATTTAAGTTTTTCGTTTAGATTAGAAGTACCCTGAAAATATTGCAGTAAACAAATCCTGTCTCACTGTTGGTGCTGAAATAAAAAAAAATAATTTTGAGTATAAATGCCTAGAAATGAGGATTTTTGTTTGGAAAGTGAAAACATAGAACTAAAACCTCCTTTTTGAGTAATGTGCAAAAATATTGTGCCTGTTTCAATATTAACAAACAAGAATAATAAAAATCGGAAACCACATAACAAAACTGGTTGACGTCATAATATGGCATAGATGTGATATTAAACACGATAAAAATGAATAAAAAAAATATGATTTTACCTTCTCTTGTACATAGCTAATTGTTATTATCCATTTTTACTATCTACTACATAATCATTAATTTGTCTTGGTGATTTTTGCAAAATAAAATATTAATAATTCTTTTTTTTTTAATTAGAGGAATAGAAATACATAACTATTAATGAAAATAAAATATTTTTGGATTACTTAGATATATATTATATATACGATTAATAAAATAGTGTGGGGTATATACATAATATATTAAAAAAATATATATATTAGGGTTTAATGGACTAAAAAATGAAATGGTATTTACTAAAACAAAAAAAAAATAGGGTGTTATTTTCGCTGTCCAAAAAAGTATAAAAAGACGAAAAACTTTTTGCACGTCAGTGTCTGTAAATGTTCCTCCGATACGTATGTGGTGTTAATCTGTCAATTTTTCAATGTGTATGTGTCTAGGGTAGAGTTTGACACCCGGTTTAAAAAAATTAATTAATTCAAAACGCATACAGGGTGTTATCTCCCGTTTAACTAAAAATTTTTACAGCGAAACTTCTTAGTGATCCGCTTATGTTTAGCATTTTAGCATCGAAAAAAAAAAGAATTAGAATTTTTCTCCTTTTTGGCCTATTTATTAATAGTTATTTGTATACTAAGGTTGAAGTTTTGAAATTGATGTATCTCACACATCAAAAAGAAAAAACGAGGCCAAAGTTATACATTTTTTTTTACCAACCAACGTGGTTGCGCAGAAAGAAGGAAACTAATTGGATTATAAATTTAATAAAAAAATGTATATAATATCTACATGATTCTCCCATTAGGTCTTTCTTCTTTGTACATATTATTAATTATATTAATGTTACTTTTATATCATTTTCTGTGTATTAATAAAATAGAAAGTAAAAAATTTAATTAATGAATGAATGAATCAACAAGCACAATACATAATAAGGCTGGATAAGCTATTATTTTTATTTTTTGTCTTTAATTTCGGTTTGTATTTTTTTTTCTGATCTCTAGAATGACTGCGCATATTAAGTACAATATAAATAACAATAATGCATGTTTCAGAAAAAAATTACTACGTTTGATTTATTATGTGTATTTATGTTTTATTTAGCTTAGCACATTAATTATTTGTTCCTGATTCATTTTTGTAAACCTCGACTCCCTAAAAATCCATTAATTCTAATTCAAATTAAAAGCATAATTATTAGTTTTAGTTACCACACATTTAATAAAACATTAATTTTATGTATCGAGTGGGTTTAACACAAATTTTCTTTTTAAAGATATCGTATTTAAAACTATTTACTGAATTAATAAATAAATAAATAAAAAGGCTGCACTTTAAAAAGTTATTAAGTAGATTGCGTGGGATTAAAAATCTTTATTTTCCCATGCAATACAAAAAAAAATGTTTAGTGTACACAAGACTGGTGTAGTTTTTTGAGTCGATGTCAATACATAGCTAATATACATTATATTATATACATAAATATATAAAAAAATAAAACTATATATACATATTATTACTAATTAACAAATAGATCACTTTTAACGATTTAAAACCAACAAGAAAATGTTTAAGTGTGTCGAGGAATGTAAAAAAAAGGTGTAGGCTGTTTCCTGTAGTGATTATTAATCTAATATAATTATTATTATTCTAAAAAAAACTGAGGAAAATTAATAATAATAATAATCAGAGAGAAAATTGTACATTGTTATTACTACTAACATAAAGTTTTTTTTTTGTAAGTGGACTGTCTGGTTTTTTGCGTAACGTCTAAGTAAATTAGTAATAATAATTTGGGTTTATTATTTCTCATTTTTTGTTTCGTTTTCACGTTTTGTAGCGGACTCGGGAATCAACTGCGCCGTTTCGAAACGTTTTTTTTCTTTTGAAACGGCGACATCAGATCCTAACGATAACGTTTTTGCTTCTTGTGATAAATATTGCTACAGTTATTGCCCGAGCCCGCATTTTATTTTATTTTTATTTGTTGGTCTTATACCGCCATATGTATAATTTCAGTTTTTTTTTCTTTTTGTAAATATTTAATAAAAACTAATTTTATCAGTTTTTCTTTTTATTTTAATTTAATACGTTTTTTTTTGTCGGTGTGAAACAAAAATAAAATGCATTAAGTACAAATAGATATTTCGTACTAAGAAAACTACTTTACTATATTTAAATGATTATAAAATATGTTAAATTAAATTTAATTAAATTTTTTAATACAGTAAAATATCGATATAATGGATTAATACGGTGAAGGGAGTTGTCTGTTGTTGAAGAAATTTTAATATACAACAATCTTACGCTGAATAACAATTAAAACTAGAACTAGAAATATTCGGGTTTACCCGCACGTCTTTTAAGACGGCTAAACCAGAGTG